ACATCAATTCTGGCCTTCTTTATCTCCTTTTCTTTCATGATGTGTTCTCTTTTGTTTCTCCTTTTCGGCTCATTCTATTTATCTCTTTGCCGCTACCGTCTCTCTACTTATCTATCTATCCCCCATGATTATTCCTCCGACATAACCTTTTGAAAATTGTCATGAATTTACGAAATTGACGACACATTACGCCCTTACTTTTTTTTTCCATACTGTACGATATGTACTATATGATACGTACTCAGCTCAACTAGTTTATATATTTTTCAAGTAACCTGATCATCCTGAGAATACGGCATTGATATATGATATTGATGGTAGATGCAGGTGTGTAATATCCACGTATAGATCATATTCACGTGGTTTGAATGTACCATGCTATACTTCGTAGATATATCCCCGATTTCGCCGGCTCCCCCTTTCACTTTCCTTGCGTCCCTCCGTACCGTTCCGTTCCTTCTTTCCCTTGCCCTTCCTCCCGGCCCGTCCTCCGCTTAGGTACAACGTGTGCGGCACGGACAAACGCTTGTATATGTATTGGAAGTAGGTGATCGAGATAGAATGGTGCTGATTGAGACTTTTTGAGGTTGAAGTTGAGATGATGGAGCCCGAGACACAGAGTGGTAGTAGACAGGCAGAAAGAGATAGAGAGAGAGATAGACGGAGGGAGATTTGGTAATAGGTGGGATTCGGTAAATCGGGCTAGTCAACAAAAAAGTTCATTCTAGACTAGCTCCCTTAAACCTCTTAGCAAGACGTTCACTTTCAGATTTGGGAGACTCGGGCCTGAGATGAGAGGAGGAAGAGGAGGAGGGGAGGGAACGTTTTCCGGGGTTGTAGGGCACTGAACGTGGCGGGTAAGGCTCGGGTGTGGGCAGCCAGGGGCGCTTAGGGGGGCGCTCACCACTTTCCTGAAGAATGGTCACCAGGGTAGCCCATCCAGGGGTGTTGATCAGCTGCAGGCCATCTGCGGGGGCACGTTGCGTCGCGACGCGGCAGAGTAATGCTTCTTCGTCCTGTGAGAAGGTGGGTGGGTTTGGTTAGGACGGGTTGTTCCTGAATGGAAGAAAGTCATGTAGGCAATGAGGGTTTACCTTGTTGAATGTCGACAGGGAATGCAGGAAGCACAGCATATGGAAGTCCGAGACGGCTCGGATCGCTTTGTCCGGGTCGCCGTGGGTCACTAGCTTCTTCGCCACGTGGACGAGCTCCTGGCTCTCGCCGATGACTTCGCGGTTCTCGATGGGGAAGCTGCTGTCGGTGAATAGGGGAGAGGCGTCCGTTGGGAAACCGTGTGTCAAGGTGACCAGGAGGTATTCGACGGGAAAGCTGGGTTTGGCGTTCTGCTGAGCGCTGACGCCGTACTCGTTGATCTTGCGATAGAAGACCTCGGGGATATACCGCGACTTGTTCTCGGTGTCGTCGTCCTCGGATTGCACCAGCATGACCGAGGGTTCCGCCGATGGTTCGACAATGTCCGCGCGGACCATCTCAACGGCGGCTACTGACGCCTGGTAAGCACTGACTGAAATGGCGCCCTCCTCGTCGCCACTCAGCACACAAGTGACAAAATTTGAGCCGAAGCGGCCTGTCCGGCTCCATTTCGTGGCCTTGGGGTGTTGCGCTTGCATCCGCGCTGCAAAAGCGATCTCTAAGGAGGACAGATAGTAGGAGTCGATGTGTCGTTTGCAAATTACCGAACCGTCTCCACGACCCGCGTCCAGTAGGTCTGTAAAGATCACGCCAACCCTCTCCAAACCACAGAGATGTGCGACCTCGTCCACCTCCTTCTCGTTGGGCCATTCATGGAGCGTAACTCCATCCACCTCATCCACTTGTGGTGGCTCATAGATGGCCTGGACCACGGCCTTCACGCCCAGCGGAACCTCCTTATACTCCTCATAGGTACCGTAGAGAAACCCCAACCGCTGAGCGCCCGACTTCCGCCAAAAGTCGAGCAACGAGTTAATGAGATCCGGCGAGGAAAACTCCACATGGTCCACCATCCGGAACTCTTGCGGCTGCAGACTGATCGCACTCGGCTGGCACTTGGTGCAAATACCCTCCGGCCACTGCGGGTGTCCAGATGGACAGTCTCGCCGTACCCGGTAATACGGCTCACTGAGCGGGGGCATGAACGAGCTATTGAGTTCGGCTTTGTTGGTAGAGGCGTTGATTTTCCGCAGATATGAATGAAACGAGAGGTGCTTGATCTTCTTCTCCGCCAAATACTTGGGGTCGTAAGGCTCGAGCGGCATGCAGTAGTCGCACATTCCCTTGGGCCCGTGTCGGCAGAACTTCGTATCGAGGCCTCGCTTTATCTTCCCATCCTTCTTATCCAACATATCATCTAGCGGCGATTGCTGCACCACGTCCCAAGGGTTCTTGATTGTGGCTGTGGGTGAGGTCGGTTGTGGAGGGCGGAAGGTTACCGTTTCGCTTTGGGGCACAGGAGCTCCATTTAGACGTCGCGAAGCGTCACCTGCGCTGGGGGTTATATGGCCGTTGGCTGTGCCATTCTGCTGTCCTTGGTTTTCTTGATACCCGATGAAGAGCTTATCGCCGTGCCTGACAGGAAGGAACCGAGCAGTGTTAGTGGCTGTGACAGGTAACCTAGATCGGCGCCTAATCTATTAACATGCAGGCCTCGACTCACTTGAGACCAACTTTGTCGAAACCCACGCCATCTAAGCTGTTGAGGAGTCTCTCCTCACCACCGGTGCCGATGGGGCGGTTGGAGAGGGTGATGGAAGAGGGATCGACGTTCGGAGGGAGACGCTCTAGGATCTAGAAGAGCAATATAAGCACTCGTTCGAGCTTTCCAGTGCTATGCCTTGAGGCATGGGATACACACCTGTGGCTGCAGAGACGGGAATAGGTCTTGCGGGTTGACCGTCAACCGGAACTGGCCGTTGCGGCTTTCGAACCTCAGTACGATCGGGCGTGATGCCATGGTGGTGACACCCTAGCAAGAAGGGAATGGACGAAATAGAAAGGTTGTATCAATATTTGCGCAGCTTCAGTAACTCATCAGACTCATCAGATCATGGCCGAGACGTGGGGGGGAATGAAGAAAGAAGAGTTGAGGCGAGAGAGAGAGTTGAAGAGAGCTTGGAGGAGAGCCGAAGGCGGCAGCGGAGCTCTATCGTCATTGCACCCCGTTACCGCCTGATACCACCCCGCCGTTTCTTCTCCGCTGACAAATGGCGTATCTTTGGTAATCCAGATACTTCCGTCTTGCTAAGGGTTCCATAGATCATTCATGACTACATAGATCATATAGAGCACATCCTGTAAGTCAAGTTTGTTCTAGATTTATAGGTATATTTTATTTATTATGATTCTGTTCTAAGTATATTATGGGAATAGCATCACAAGAACAAGAAACCTAATCCTCCGAATTAAACGCCAGTATCCAAACCAACCCGGTCAAAGCAAAGCAAGGCACGAATGAAACTGCAGGGTATCAAGAGAAATCCGATTTACATGATGGTGCACTTCTTAGGCAAACCACATGGTCCCTCGTTACTCTTGTCTGCATCACTCGCTCCCTGAGTGCCCTGGCCGTTTTTGGCTGGCGCAGGCTGGGATTTCGGAGTCTGAGTCGTCTGTTTTTGCGACGCTGCTGCGGCCGCCGCAGGTTGCGACTCCGACTTGGCCTGCTCACTACCATGCAGTCAAGCGAAGTTGTGGGCAGCAACGTGCTCGTAGAAGGCCTTGCCCTGGGCCTCGGCAACCTCGAGCTCGAGAGCGCTGGGCTGGCGGGAACCGTCGGGCCCCTGTAGGGAAAGTCATCAGTATGTTGTCGCAGACAGAAATGGTCCGGGATCGGTGTAAGTAGGAAAACTTACGGCAAAGGTACCGGCACCCCAGGCGCTACCACCGTGGACCTCGTTGAGGTTGGCCAGCTGGGCGAAGACGGTCTTGTAGCCGAGAGGAACGTAGACGAAACCGTGGTGGGCGAGAGTGCTCATGGCAGCAAGGCAGGTAGACTCCTGGCCACCACCCTGAGTGCCGGTGGAAACGAAGAGACCGGCGTACTTGCCCCAGTAACCACCGGAGGCCCAGATACCACCAGTGCGGTCCCAGAAGGCCTTCCACTGGGCGGGGAAGTTACCGTAGCGAGTGGGGATACCGAACAGGACGGCGTCGTACTCAAGGAGAGTGTTGGCTTCGGCAACGGGGTAGCTGGACTTGGGGGGAGCGTGCATCTTGGCCAGAACATCGTCGGAGAGGGTCTCAGCGATCCTAGAAGGGATTATGTTAGTCACCGTGACAAGTGCAATTGGCTCAATTGCAGCCATTGACATACTGGAAGATGTCGGCGGAACCGCCAGCAGCCTCAATACCCTTCTTCTCAGCCTCGGCCAGCTTGAGGATGTGGCCGTACATGGAGTACTGTGATTAATTGGCCCATTAGTCATGCGGGTTTTCAAACTGGTGAAGTCACAACACGGTGGGGTATCACTCACGAAGACGATAGCAATCTTGGGAGCCATGGTGATGGTGGGGTGGTGGGGTGAACCTGGCGGGTAAAGAGTGAGAGAGAAGGAAAGCACAGAAGAAGGAAGAGACTTTTATCAAGAAGGTTGCTTCTGGAGAAGAAAAGAAAAAAACAAGCAAATGGATCCGGTCATGGTGGCCAGACTTTATAGCCTCGAGGGGGGAGGAGGGGGGTGGGGGGAAAGGTACTGTGCTTGAGAAGCTCCGCAACTCAAAGCAGCTTCTTCTCACTCAGCGTTTGGCAAGCATCCGTAATCGATTACTTACTACGACCGTTCGCCTGTTCCCGTAGGGGCCCTGTCTCCCCGGGCGCGATGATTGGTGTCGAGGTACCTAAAAGTGGAATTCCAGAGCCACTCATCGTGCGTGCCATCCAATCAACCGTGATAGTGGAGCCTTACGGATCATTGACAAATGGAGCTCGGATGGACTCGACTGGCGCTGAACGATCTCTTATTCACCATCTCATAAGCTCCCTCCTCTCCTCCCAGTGGGAACAGATATGGGGACTCCTTTGGCAGCACGGGTTTGATCCCTCCTCCTTTCGGGAACTGGAGCTCCCTACCGAGGATTAGACGATAATATTGACAAGCTACTTTCTCATTTACCCAGTTGCTAGAGGAATCTGTCTGTTCTGTGGTCTGATAGTCATGATGTCATCGGGATAGCACCTTATCACTATCGGCTAACGCAATGTCTCTCACATTTCTGCCCTGGGATGACTGTCTCTCTTTGTTTCTAGGGGTTGCTGCTGACCCTCAATTGACGCTATCTAAAACAGTATCTGCTATCTAGTTGGCAGTTGAGTAGCGGCAATCCGTGCACGGTCTGGCTAGACCCTCTATCGACCCCCGTTCCCGGCGCCATATTAGATTGCCCCGATGTCTATAGCAGACACCATATACCCAATCACACAATTGAAGCTCCAGCTCTGCTTCTTCTTCTTCCATTTTATTACATTCATTCATTCATTCATCTATCTACCTACCATGTATCCTCTGATACATAACAAAGAGAAATCTAAGATGCAACCATGATAGATTCAACCGTGTAAAATAAAGCGTAAACATGCCTCTCAGCTGGGTATCTCGACGATTTTGTAAACACAAATCTGCAAAACAAATACAACTAACCCTGTTCCTTTTATCATCATCAACTTCTTCTTCTTCGTTCTCTACTGTCCACGTCCACGCCCCCGGTACCGACCCCGCATGAACCCCCCACCACGACCACGCTCACTCCTCCACTCCCTCTCACGCTCTTTCTCCTTCTCCTGTTCCTCCCGAATTAACGCCCGTTCCCGTTCCAGCTCTTCTTCGGTCTTCTCGACCCGGATCTGCGGACGGGGAAGGTTCTCCGACCACCGGGGGTGAGCATCCACGCAGGCCTTGCCGTCCGGACAGAACCCAGCCAAGTAGTATTGACACAAGCGCCGACGAACATGCCGCTTGGCACACAGGGGTCCCAGCTCGCAGAATCCCCGGTCGTAGTGTTCACAAGGGGGCAGACGCGCCTGCTCCCGCACGTGCTGATACAGGCAGTCATCGCCATTGGGACAATAGCCGGACCGCGAGAAGGACTGGCATTCCGGCATGCGACGGAGGTTGTATTCATGAAGGTACTCGCACTTGAGGCCCTTTTTGCAGAGTCCCTTGAGGAAATGTTTACAGACTAGAGATCCATGTGTGGTTGATGGTGCTAGTCCCGACGCGGTGGTGGTCGACGTGGTGACACGCGATGGGGTTGGGTGGCGATCGGGACAGGCTGGTCCAAGAGGGCAGTGGCCTTCGCTGTAGGCTTTGCAGACGGGCACATCACTGGCAAGGCCGAAGCCATAGCTCTGGCGGAGGAAGGGTACGAAGGAGAACTCATCATAGCTCGGGTCGCGGGGGCTGTTGGAGGTGAGCACGCGTGATGCTGCATGGCTCACGTCCGCCGTCATGGTGATTGGTTTGGGGTTGGACGACAAGAGGGTAGAAAGGATGGAGTCGAGGTAGGAGCAGGAGCTTTTCGCTCGTCGACACGTTTTGAGCGGAGGCCCTTGCTTTGTTTGCAGTCAATCAAATAACTAAGATGGGCTAGGATATAGACCCGATTAATGCCCTATTGCCTCGCAAAGTGGTTGGCAACCTCAGACACTGAGCATATGGAAGAAAATGGTCTTGAAGAACGATGAATGATCAGTCTGCATCGGATGAGTCCAGGAAAGCGACTCCGAGCCTTGAAAGGGCAGTATGTTGAAAGAGGCAGGCGGTGGCAAATTTAACATGCTTATTCAGCAATATCATCGTGGAAGTCCATCGAACCATGTAAACTGGCGGTAGAACGCATGAAGGAGCAGAAGAACGTAATCCGTAGAGCATCTAGTTACTTCTACAGTGAGATCGGGCTGTCCAAAAGGGATCCCTCGTTGATGCTTATTCCCCGCCCTTGTTTGGGCACAGTCAGCCATCCATGCTGCAGCGAGACGCACCCCGTCTTTCCTTGATGGTTGACGGCAGCCTGGGGGAGCGCCGGGCCCAGTTGCAGCAGGCCAATGGGTACGTTTCCCAAGCGCGGGCAAGCCTGGCTGCCCCTGCATACGAGCATTCCTACGACTTACGAGATCACATGGTCCGTTGCTTGATGGGTCTGACGCCCGACTCCCTGCTCGACTGTGAGAAGGATGCATGTTGTACGGTGTAACTTGGAACTAGGGAACAGCCCGGGGAGTAACCCAGTTCCGATGGACAGCACAATCGGAATGCTTTCATGCTTCTTCCTCCCAATTTTTTCCCCTATCTTCTTGATTTTCTTCGTAGTGAATGACTTTAACAACAATACCGGTGCGGTTGTCGGCGCTCTGGAGCGGCTCCTGTCGCTGGCGAGTAACACGCCGGAGAAAAAGTGTACTTGACGCTAAGAACCCGAGGATTGTCTCACCCCTCCTCGTTCTCGGTGCCTATTCGCTCGGGGATCAGATGCACATCCAATATGGGGTGAAAAGGTCTCCCACTCAGCATCAAGGTAATTGAGTCGCGGTCCTTCATGCGGGGATGGGGCGTCACTAGTCCTACAGGTTAGTCGTCCGCGGCTGCGACTCCCCCACTACCAACATTTCCCTCAGACGAGGATGCAAAAGGGAAATAAATAAGAAAAAAAAGCAACGACGGTGGGAACTCTAACTGCAGCCATAAGAAAATAGTGGGCAAGAACTGCAATTTTCCAACCCAGTCGATCCCCCAGTCCGATCCGGAACAACCGAGCGAATACTTCATGAGGATTACTGAGCATCTCCCCCATAGTGGCCAATCGCTGCAATGCTGATACATCCCGGCATTTGCTCTGGGTATATTGCATCAGCAGTCGATCGCTGAATTGACCTCTCCTCAGTCGACTTCAACAATAGTCCCGTGCGACGAGTCTATAATCTCGTCGCGAGGTATTCGGGTTTGGGAGAAAAGAGGCTTGGTAATCGACGCCACTGTCATTGGATTTTTGGAGGGTCTCGAAGCACCAGGATCTCACCGGAGAGTATCGAGAGGGTAAGAACTGGGCCTTAAAACAAACCTTAGCAGGCCGCGTCCTCTGGCCGGTACACCAGATGAAGGGGGAGAACGTTCCGGGGCGGCCAATAATGATCAACACGATCGCTTGATCTGCTCCTCCGACCTAGGAACCTGGGACAGCAAAAGGCGGGGTGACAACGTTTGGACCGTGTCTGGGGCTGTGGCTGGTCATCATCAGATGCTCCCATAGTCGGACGTTGATCTGATTGACCAGCCCAGGCCACTGCTGATGGAGGAGGGGGGACCGACCGAAATAGGCCCCTAACCTTAGCAGCCTGCATGACAAAGCTGCATAGGATGTTGCCTGCAAATTGGCCGCATTGCAACCCTAGAGACGAGAATACGTGAGTAGTACGTGGTAGGGTGCAGGGAAGGGTAGTTGTAGAAAAGCCAAGTACCTGGATCATGGAAAGAGTGGGATGATACTGATGTAGCCACTGCGTCGGGTCAGCTCAAGTGGTTGTACGTGGTTTGGGCCGGAGGAACGACAGAAGCAGCTTTCGTTGTTGTTGTTGTCGTCGTCGTTGTAGCTGTTGCTGATGCTGTTGGTTCATCCTGGTTGCCTTCTTTCCTTCCTGCCAGTCCATCCATCATCAGTTCCGTTGCAGTGTCTCTCTCCCGTTGCTCTTGCTGCTTCTGCTGCAGATCAAAGGGTTTAAATTGCTCAAGACCTCAGCAGAAAAAAAAAAGAAAATACTACTGCCACACTGATCGTACGATCCCTTACCTTCTCCATACTCGCGTGGGGGAAGCAAATCAAAAAGTCCCTAAATCACATCGCCAGACCAACAGGCACTCCCACACGTGACGCTGGCTATTCTGGGGCTTGTTCCATCTTTAATCCTCGCATCACGATCTTAAGCTTATTTTTTTTGTATTTCGACCTCACATCCTGGTCTTCAGAGAGCCAATCTTTCCCCCTCTTGTTCTACTGCACCCTGGTTACCCTCCCCCTCTTTCACCACTACTGGTCATGTTCTCCGGCTCCTCCCTCTTTCCGCACTGGCGGCGCAAAGCAGCCGAACGCTCCAGTAATAGTTCCTACGAGGTGCCCTTCTTCCTGAACGCTGCCTATTATCCCAATTGGAGGATATACCGGAAACAGCCTCCGTCGGCCCTTCGATTGGGCTTCATTTCTCATATCTTCTACGCGTTTGCATGGTACTAGTAACCTCAAGTCGGCACCATGCTGATGGTCCCAGTCCATACCCAGAGACAGTTGTTAACCAGCCTGCTTTTCTCGTTTATAGGGTCAAAGAAGATGGTACCGTTTATGTAACCAGTCCTCTCTCCCCATTGTGAAGGGCTGCTCTGGCTGACAAGACATGACTTCAAAAACAGCTCAGTGACGAATGGGCCGATGCGCAAATGCCCGTCGACGGCACCAACGGCTGCCTGCGGGCCTTCGCGCAACTGAAGCCGCAGTATTCCAAGATGAAACTCATTCTCTCAGTCGGAGGAGGCGGCAAGGGCAGTGAGAACTTCGCCCAAGTGGCCCGCAGTCAATCCCGCACCGAGACGTTTGTTCGGAGCGCGAGAGCACTGGTGGATCAATTTGGTCTGGACGGCATCGATGGTACGTGTAATGGAGCCGAGCCCCTCTCCCCTTATCATCATGGATGCGTCATGTCGGTATAGTGAACAGAAAATAAGGTAAAATTGTGTGCATGCCCTAAGGCTAACCAACCTTGTGCTGGCCCAACAGTGGATTGGGAATACCCCTCCGACCCACAAGAAGGATCGGACTATATCCGTCTGCTGGCGCGACTGCGCGAAGTCCTGCCAGCCCCGCGTTATGTTCTGGCCTCTTGTCTCCCGGCCGGCCCATGGGCTCTCCGTAACATCGATCTTTCTAAGGCGCAACTCTATCTTGACCTGATCAATATCATGGCGTATGATTTCTCGGGCCCTTGGGAGAACCAGTCGGGTCATCAGGCCCAGCTCTTCAGCAAGCATCCCGCAGCCATTTCATGCCAAAACTCCATCTCGTACGTGCTCAACCAGGGCGTCGATCCCAAGAAGCTCCTTCTGGGAATCCCCGCATATGGCCGCTCGTTCCTGGGTAGCACTGGAGTTGGTCAGCGGTATGTAGGCTGTGGCGGTGAAGACGGCGTCTTCGACTATAGCCAGCTGCCGCGACCGGGAGCCAAGGAGCATCACGACAGCAGTCTGGGGGCAGCATACTGCGTAGGGGGAGATGGCGGCTTCGTCACATATGACACACCCCAGACAGTGCAGCAGAAGGCGAAATTCGTCACAAAGATGAAGCTGGGCGGGTTATTCTACTGGCATATTGGAGGCGACGCACGGGGACCGCGAAGTCTGATCGAAACAGGGTATAACACATTGCATGATATGTAATTTCCTTCTATTCCACTGTCAGTATATTCAAGGTTAGGCTGGACTTTATTTTTGTCAAAGGAGAGCAGGAGAAAGATGATGAAAAGAAAGATTAAAAAGTTATACCAGGGGAGAAATTCAAAAGGAGGCACACGTGACATTCTGTTTGTTTAGCCATTGTTATCCTGGATGATCAAAAGAGAGAAGAGAGAGAGAGAGAGAAACAGAAAATAAAAAAGTACGACATTCTTATGGCTCATTTGGAACAAACAAATTATCTCGCTTAAGCATCCCAGCCGGGGAAAGATGAGACAATCGTTGCACTTATTGATAAGCCCCTCCCTTTTCATAGGGGGGTGGTTTCACCATGTAGGTAGTATGCAGCAAAGCAACGTCTGTGCATCCGCGACTATTGTTTATTAAGCTATCCATTCATAGTTATCATTCTTTGTTCCACCCTTTTATTCCTAGTCATCATATAAGTTCTATATAAGAGCAACAAAACGTTAGATGATTATATCATAGATTATTACATACACTAATCCTATACTAGATAAAAAATACCTACCTAACTACCAACGAGGACACAAGTCCAGCTCCCATCCATCCATCCATTCATCCATCCATATATAAAAGCACATGGGAATCACAACATCATCGTAAGCAGTAAGTTAGCCATATATAAACAAAGAACAAACCATCAACCCCTCCCACATAACACATATGTCTCATTTATATCCCACAAACAAGAGGATATAGGATCCGTCAGTCCGTTAAACCAAGATTACAGACTTTTATTTAGAGACGAGACCGACTGTCTGATTGACAAGCCTCAGGCTAGCTCAACCGCCCAATGCCTGCGTCACGTTCAATTGAACTTGGAGTTTGAGCGACGCCAGCGCTTCTTCAATGTAAAGGAGGGGCTGGTTGTTGTAGATGCTCGAGTTGCCTGTGATGTCGATGGGGAGCATGTAGTCCGGGTAGCTGCTTAGCATGCCGGCGACGGTGAGGGTGCTGACGTTGGCGGTCATGGGGACGGTATTGTTGCCTGGGCCGATGGTGAGGTCGTAGATGAAGGCTTGGCCGATGGCGGTGTTATTGACCTCCAGGTTGAGAGTCAGGTTGCCCTGTTGGATGTGGGGTTAGTTGGATGCTGACTATGGTGGATTAGGGGAAGGTGGGGGATATGCATACCACGGCGATGCTAATGTCGGAGGGGTTGGGGATGTAGACGGTTCCTTTGGCGTTGGTGCCGTCTGTGTTGTTGGTTCCAATTGACATGTCCACGAGATCAAAGCCCGAGAGCTTGTTGAGGCCTAGGCCGGAAGGTATGGGTTAGTGGGTTGTGAAGGGTAATACTAAGATGAGGGGAATGAGCGAGCTTACCTGTCACCATGGCGGTCTTGTTGTAGGTGACCGTGGTCTTGGGTAGACTTCCCTCTTTTAGCTGGGGCTTGCCGTAGACGTTGAGAGGGAACTTCTCGTTCATTATGGCGGCCTTGCAGAACTCAGCGAATGCCGTTTCGTTGGTCAGGTTCGCACGCTGGTTGACGTCGATGACAACGCCATTGTGGCCGTTGAATTGGGGCACCTGAACGTGTGTGAAGACAGCGGAACCCAGCAGGCTGATGGCTGCGGAGAAAGTGTAGAAGGTTGGGTGAAAAGAGCTGTTAGACCCAATGACCTGCAGCTGGTGGAGGTCGAAGGATGAAGGTGAGGGGTCACTGATGACCATCGATGTGACGGTCAGGTTGGAATCATTGACGATGTGTTGAGCCATCTTGGGGTATCCGACGTAAACTCTGTTTTCCCACGTTTGTCATGTAAGTCGGAGACCGGAAATAGATAGGGGGTGGAGGGGGGCATCTTTTGTCATGATAGGAAACTTACACAGGAAGCACCACCACAAGAACAATCACGATCAAGGCGATGATATACACCCACCACCATCGCTTGAAGTGTCTAGCCACGCGAGCCCCAAAGCTGGGCTTGGCCGTGGCCGGCACGGCCACGCCAGCATCTTCGAACACTTCAGGCTTGCTGTCGCTGGCCATCTTAGTTGCAATGCGCCGCTATCTCAGGTCGTACTGAACCTCTCCTCGGACACAATGGACCGATGATGTCGGTGTGACAATGGCGGGGGGTTCTCCTTCCGCGAGGACCGAGCCGAGGAATGTGGTGGGATGGCTAGCACAAGGATTGTCTCTACACAGAGACGGATCCGAGGACTCAGGGACTTGATTGAAGTAGACAAGCTGCAACGAGGTCAGCAACGGACCGGCGGGTACGGGGGGGAGTACTATATAATCGGCTACCATGGTGCGACAGCAGCGAAGATACATACCCACCAGTCTGGTCGAGGTCAAGTGACGGGCAAGTGATATGCAAGACCGACAATCGATAGGGTTGAAGAATGACCACGGAACCAGGAGACCGAATCAAGGGAGGCAAGGGAGGAGAGGAGAGAAGAAGAACCCACAATCAGCCAGGACGAGGGAAAAAGAAATCAACCGGGTCTAAACCCCCCCTGCCCGAACGCTAGGTCGCTAGATATATCTTCTAGATGGCCCCGGGAAGAAAGAGAAGGGGAAAAGAAAAATTGAAAAATAAAAGCTGAGACCATCACATGTCCGATTTCAGCAACCTCGATAGTCGATCAGGTCTGCACACCGCGGGTCATACTAGTGTACAACCAGGCTTGAGACGGCGCGGATGAGACATGCCGCTACTGGCCCTAGTAGATAGGAGTGTAACGGCGTAGACTAGGTTGAGAGGCGAGCCACCAAAGGGGACGCCATGCCAGGACCCCAGTATGCGGGAGGACGATCCAGATAATGAGGACCAGATCCATTAGGCCCGGCCCCGCGCAAGGACCATGGCCAGCCTGAGATCGCATGGAGCTACACACACACACACACACACACATACTTTTCGGCCGTACAGTGGGTGGGTTAGATCAGGCATTGTTCATGATTGATGATGTTCACCTGCAAATCCTGATTGAGAATGTCAGTGAACCGAGGCAAGAGGTGAGCCATCGCATCATCCCGCTGCGAGTGATTGGAGGGGGCGCACGAGAAGGAAGAGGAGAAGGAGGAGCAGGAGGGCGCAGGACGACAGCCGGAGCATGCTGAAGTGTGAAGCACTAATGCAACCCCCCAATTTCCCCCGGACGATCAGGGCAGCTTTGGGGTGGGACCAAATGCCGGCGCGATGCGAGAAGGTCGAGCTAAGGCTGGCTTTCTTCCTGTTTGGGTCATCAGGCCTGCATCCATCGCCACTCTTTCTCTCCTTTGGGCCAATTCTCCGTGGGCTGCGCTCGAGCACCGGCCAATCGCCCGACTTGGACTTGGACTAATGAACCCCCGGGGTTTAATATCGCCTGCCAATCAACCGAGCCGGTCGCGACGGTCAGCCCGGACTTCTGGTGCATTCGTGCTATATTATTATTGCATATTGCTCCAATTTCTTTTGTCGGATTCAAGCTGACGCTGGAATGAGGGGGAGGTTGTTAGTTGTTTCCCCGCTTAGATAGTTAGTCTCCAGCCAAGCCACCCGGTGATCCAACTACTGAATAGTCCGTGGTGCTAGTCAGGACTTGCCCTTTCCCCCCAAAATCCTCTCACCCACCAAGAGCAAAAGCTATTCTTCCTTTGCTGGACACTTAGTTCCGAGTATTTACTTGTCTTGTTGTCTCATCTCTCCCCCCAGTGGTTCGTCGCCACTGGAGGACTCGGTTTGATCACGCTGGAACAGCAAGCACTACTAACTTCTCAGTGGCTGAGGTATTCAGAAGCATATCCAAAACTCTATCCATCATTGATGGATGAACATCCGATTATGTAGCAATTCCTCGTGAGTATCATCAGGTATGATCTCGGTCGACACAAAACACACGGCTATCTCTAAGAAGAAATGGAAAGAATGGTATTACAGGAGTCAGAAAAGAAAGATAATGGAAGAGATCCCAACGATCGAACATGGACAAGCGCCCACGGTAAATAAAAAGAAAAAAAGAAGTAAGAGAAAAACAAGTGGAGAAATGAAAATGGTTATAAAGGGAAGAACCACAGAACGAAGGAAGGGGGAAATAGTGTTAAATTCCAAAAGAGAAGAAAAGAATTATCACACAGTGATTCGAAAATGATGGGTATCCAAGAAACGAATATCGCTGCCCGCAAATTGGAACGCGAAGTCAAGCGAGAGCCACTCAACCCGGTGACCCAAAATGTGGAGCAGCTAGCAAGGCCTGCTCAAGGAGAAAAAGGAAAGGTGTGAATAAATAGCGCGAAATGCGAAGTAAAAAAAAGGAAAAGCAAAGAAAAGAGAAGAGAGGCAACCCACGGATGGGTCCAAACGAATGGAACGAAAGTCAACTAGAGAAATCTTCCTCAATCGGCAGCACATGGTGCGTGTTGATACTGACCAGAGACACTGAATGGTCGAGGAAGGACAAGAATATCAATGGGAATGCATGCCAAGACCAAATGTAGAACAAGCCTTTCGCCTTTCTTTTTGCTAACAAGATGGCAGATGCAAGCAGGCCCTCGGGTCGACCACAAGGGTGCTGCACACCCGTTCATGCTTCTGTCGCAACCGACTTTTTTCGATGGAAAAGACTGCGGGTTCGGGATTTGCTGCGCTGTTTCTTCTCGGGAGTGCTGCCAGGTTGGGCCCGACCACGCGAGTTCGAGCTGGACTCTTCGTCCATGTACTTGTCCTTGTAGATCCTATCAAAGCCCGGTTAGACCCACCCCAACCATAGCCGACCCGGTGGAGCAACTTACCAACTATTCCCAACCATGCTGATGCCCTTCGCTTCCGCCTGCCGGTAGAATTTCGCCGCTTTCTTCAGGTCCTTTTTGCATCCAATACCTTCGGCGTAGCAGAAGCCGGCCTCCGCTAGGGCATCGCCGTCGCCCCATTGGCCCGCGATCTCGAAGCAACGCAAGGCCAGGGACTTGTCCTGTTCGATACCCCATCCATTCAGATGGCTTACTCCAAGCTCGTAGATACTCAAGGCAAACTGCGCTCGATAAGCCTTCTGTAGCTCCTTGGCGCGAGCGGGAATGGTCGGGTTTGAATCGTCCATCAATTCGATACCAACGGAATCCACGGCCTTGCGCAACCACTGCACACCCTCCCGCTGATTCGGTCGCATACCCCAGCCATGTCGACAAGCCAGCGCATAAAGTAACATTCCGGTCGGATGGTTTTGCTTGGCTGCAATGCGCAGGTGATATGTCGATTCATTCAAAGATCCTTTCTCATGGCATTCGATGCCCTTGGTCACATGCTCATCTGCAGTAATTACAGCCGATGTTGTCGTGTTTGTCCGCGCGGTTTGCGGACGAACGGTGGATTCAGAACCTGCAGAGGAAGTGGCATCGGTGTGGTCTACCTTCGGAGCCTCTGCTTCCCGTTGTTCCGTAGGAGTATCTTCGGCGGGAGCGACCTCGGTAGGCACAGGCTCGGTAGGCTCAGGCTCGGTAGGTGCGGGCTCCGCAACAGAAGGCTCAGGCTCAGGCTCGACAGGTGTCGCTGGAGATGGTCTGACTTCCGGAGATGGCGGAGTTTGTTGAGGCAGAGGGGGCTCCGGAGTCAACAATTGACGAGCGGAAGCGGGAGACTCATACATCGAGCGCGTCTTCGAGTGGAACGAACCCTGGAGGGAGGGGGAAGGCGACGGGGTCCTTGCGGGTTGCGGGGGTCCCGCCGTGCTGTGCCGAGTTGGGCTCTCAAACAGCGGCTCCTGCCACTCAAAATGAGGGGTTTGGAGGCCGGAGAAGACCACCGAATCTCTCGATACTGCACGTCCTCGAGGCAGTGCGTACTTGGCATAGGTGTAGCAAGAAACAGCAGAAGACGGGTCTTCATTGGGATTGATGGGCAAGTCTGATGGCGATGGTACCACGATGGGACTAGGCTTGTGTCCACGGTTGAGCGCGCCTTGCGAATTGGCAACGGGCGGTTCCGGCGAGGCCCTGGGACCGGGGGCAGAGAGACTCGTGCTGGATCGACTCAAGGGGCGCGAGAAGTTATAGGGCCGTTGAAGGTAATTACCCGCGTTTGAAGTCTCGGAGCTCATAGATGGCGACCGGGGATGCGAGCGTGTTACGGAAGAGGACATCGAAGAGTATGGTAGTGATACGGCACTGCTGGCGGACATCTTCCGGGGCTTTGAGAACGTCGAACCGGCATTCGAGCTGCTGTAGTCGTCGTCGGAGCTCTCAGGCTGTACTCCTCGAGAACTACTTGAAGGCCTAGACAGTGGCGATCCCGGAGGTGCTAGGCCTCGTGGGGGAATGTTCAAGCGAGAAACAGAATCAGTCGAAGAGGTCCGAGAGGGTGCCACCATCGAGACCCCCAGAGAAGGAGGCGGGCCACCCGGGGTAAGGCCAGTGGGGGAGACAGCATAAAACCGAGGAGGGCCTTCCGGCGGAGCTTCGGGTGCGCTGTGTGAGGACATGGCATCCTCGGGTGATTCGGCGCGTGGCAGGTCAAGGGCGTTCACGCTCGGCTCTTTTTTCGGGGTCGTGTCTTCGTCCTCCTCGGAGTAATCTCCCACTTCGCTGGTAAGGTGCGACACCGCACTCAAACGAGGATGTTCAGACTGCGGGCGAAATTTAGGTTCCTCCACCTCGGGGCTTAATTTCTGCGTAGGTTGTCTTGACAGTTCATTGCGTCCGCCGTGACCTCTTGCGCCAGTAGAAGAATCGCTCGACGACGGGGATCGAAAATATCCAGGGCGAGGTTGCGAGAGGGAACGAGCGACGCTAGATGGAGGTAGCCTGCTCATGCGCCGGTTCCTTCGTGCCGATTCCTCCAGTTGACGAGCCAGGAGCCGACCTTGGGCGGCGAAGGCATCGAGCGGGGAGAGCGCAGGAGGAATTTCACCATCATAATGCTCAATGCGTGGGGACGGAGCCCCGCTGCGCAGGACGTCGTGGGAGGGAGAGCGGTGTTCAAACTTGGGCCGGGAGGCCATGGTTATTATCCAGGGTTCGTCGACTTGTTTCAAAGGATAGAGGGATGTTCGGTTTCGTTTTCCGGGGTCAAGACAGGAACCACACGTAGGTTCCAATCGATTAAATCATTAAACCACTAAGGACGAGCGAGGGGTTCGATTGTTCAATCGCGTTGCATGAAGAATGTGGGATGACGGGAGTTGGAATGGGGGGGAAGGAGTCGGCAGCGCTTGATGCTCTGCACAAACACTGGTAAGCCGGAGGCGCGCAAGAATAGTCTTCGAAGTACTGCACAGCTGACAGGGTGCGGACAGAAGGAGGGGGCGGAAGACACAAAGGAATGACAGCCCCAGGGAGTAAGATAAGCAAGAGGGTGTAGAAGAGAAAAGAAGCGAACGAACAGCTCCGAACAGTAGATAATAGGTGGAAGGTGTATGTGGATGGGTGAGGCCGGTACTAGAAGAGCCGGAGGGGAAACGGCACCCAATTGGTGTGGATTGTGGTGTGATAAAGTGATGGTTTTCCCGGCGGATAACAGTCACTACTTACTACTACCACTATATGAGTAGTACGGAGGGAGTGATAAGGCAGTTGAACAATCAACTAGTTGACAGTTCAAGAGTCGTCACACAAAGAGACCATGAACAAGCATTGCGGAGGGAGGGAGAGAGGGGAGAGGGAGGGAGGTGAGGCGAGCGGGGGGGAAAGAGAGAGGGAAAAAGGGACCAAGAAGGAGGGAGTTTGAAGCGAGCGAAACTGGAAGAGCGTGTGAAGGACGTTTTGGCCCATTTGATCAGGTTCGAGGCAGGAGGTTTCGTTACTTTACTTTACTTTACGCCCTGACGATCCCCAAACAAGGACCGTCGTTCTGGGCGTCTCCACGCGGAGGGGAAGAAAAGAACGGTAACGCCATTACCGACGGGTGCCATGCAGTCTGCCCCCCAATCGCGCCTGTTGCTGCTGCCCACAGGCCCATTCTTTCAGGGGTTGCCGTTCCCCCGTTACATACCCATACCGGACAGCTGACAGTTCCTCGGTCTTGGCATCCGCCCAACTGCAGGCGGATCTTTTACCATACCTTCATTACACACCTATTTTTCGTTTTATTTTACCGGGGCGAAGTCAGGGGCTTGCATTACTATTGTTCGCTTTATCGATGATTATTGATGCCCGGACTCACCCCCAAAGGTACGAAAGAGAGTTTCTATCTAGCACGGGGAAAGCCTGTCCGTCGGGGGTTGACCAGCTTCTAGAAGGCAATAGCATTCTCGACCATCGTCAGTCTGTCTGTCGGGTTAGTGGTTCAGCCTGAGTCGACGGTGGAGTCTGAACCGCACCGTGGCTCTGCAATGCTGCTATTTATATTCGCTTCTTCTCCCCCCTGCAAATTTTCGTATCCCAACCTTGAGATTCGCTGCTGATTCGTTCATCGCGTCCCATGGGTTCTTCCCTCTCAGGTACCATTTGTTGCTCCAACGACCGCCGTTCGTTTCGCTTCTGCCATGGTGGCCTCCGGCTAGTGTTGTTATTGCGATAGTCGCCCGTTGACTAGCCAGCCGGTCTGTGTGGTGCAAGGAGGTAGATCTTGTCTAAGATTCTGGGTAGATGCTTTCCACCCACTTTTCATCATCTTCATCGCTGGTGAATTCCAAAGTAAAACCATTCTGGGGCAAGATGATGACTACCATCTGGAACAGATGTCTCATCTGACTACATTCTTGTTCTGGGTAACTACCTGTTCTTAGTAGAGACTATCACGATTAAGCGTGTTCTGTATTTCATTTGGCTGGGAAGAACGGCACCGTGAGGGGGTGCGCGTCCTCAGCATGGACGCCTGAGTCAAGGAGTCTTAGCCATCCCACATCATCGCCAAGGATGGGGCATTATTCGATGACGATGGTGTTGATGATGCTTTTCTTCGTGTCCCCCTCTCTAAGGACCCAACAATTGGCCCCGGGGCAGGTGCTCGTTTTGTCAGCTGGTCCGGATTCAGGTACAACGTTGCGGGAACGCCAAACAGTCTAAAACGATCGCTTGCCAGTGATGATTGGTGCGACAATTAAAACACTGGAGCATCGGGGAATTCTACCGCTGGGCCTCCGGCCAGCTTCTTCTTAGACCTTTCTACGCCCACATCGACTCGTCAATAATCAAATAGTAATAATATCAGCGGCCTGAGGTCCTCATTGAGCCCTCGTCGTGGCCCTCTCCAAGGCTGCTGACACTCATCTGAGTCCATATTGAAGCTTATGGGGTAGCGCTTGGGATCACCAACTGCATACTTGCTTACTCTTGAGGCACCTGAACATGTCGGCAGGAAGCCCCGCTTGATCTTATCGTAAGATTGACTATCTACATGCTTAGCAGGAGAAATATTGAACAGGGATATTCCTGCAGCCAATCTTGTTCCTGACACTCAGTGGCTGGCAATAGCGCAAGGGAACCCGACAGCCGTTGGAATGTCTCCATCCACTGCAGTGACATAAAACGAATTCCATCCATGGGAAGGGCAATGAAATAAAATGAAAAGAAAAATCTCTTCAACCTCACAGACCACTCTCCCTATCGTGAGCTAATTGAGGTACGGAGGAGCAGCGGAGACAACCATACTCCGTCTTGCCCAATCATGACGCACGCCAGGCCGACTAAATGAGTATTTCGGCGACGCTCCGCCGAAGCTTAGGTGTTAGCAGCATGAGTCTAATCAAGTCGAGATGATCAGTCGTTAAGGAGAGGAATACTAATGTGAAGGGGAGGGGGCGTGTGAATTTTGACAAGGGCACAAAGAACAACCCTACCACCCAATCTCTTTGTAAATCATCTCTGGTCGCGTGTCCCTTGCGCTTTGTTCAGCCCTCCATATCGAGCAAATCCCCATGTCTATCACCACCCCATGAAACAACTGAACACACAGCCCTAATTTACTATCGCTCATACTATACTACGCTATACACGCGACACCGCGACAGCCAAGCCCAAAGCGTGGAGCCTTTCAAAATGCTGAACCGATTGAGAAACCGCTCCCTCTACGACCTCCTCCACGTCGATCCTCCTCGAGACCGTGCCCACGTCTACGAAACCTCCTGGCTTCTCCCACCCCTCCCCTACGCCATCCTCCGCGGCACCATCTCCCTCTACATCTTCACCAGCATCTTCTTCATCTGGGGTTGGAGCGGCACTCATGGCGACCGCGCAGAGATCGGAGAGAGCTTCAGCTACTTCACCTGGCTGACCTACTGGGGACTAGGTTTCTACATGCTCTTCGCCTCCATCCACACAGCCTGCTATGCCTTGAAAGGTCACTCGGTCCTCTTCGACCGCTGGCCTCGCGCCCTTCGCGCCCTCCACGGCCTCTTCTACACCACCGTCACTACCTACCCATTCCTCGTGACCGTCGTCTTCTGGGGAATCCTTTACTCGGGACCTTGGTACACCGTGACATTTAGCGGATGGCAGAACGTAAATCCCCCTTCTCAACCCACTACATTACCTGTCCCCTACCCCTCGAAATCTTCATAATATACTAATAATAATATCCAGATCTCCCAACACGGCCTCAACTCCCTCTACGCCCTGTCGGAAATCATCCTCCCAACCACAGCCCCGCACCCATTCCTCAGCTTCGCCGTGCTGGTTTTCATCCTTCTTCTATACGTCTCCCTCGCCTACCTCACCTACCACACTGAGGGGTTCTACACGTACTCATTCCTGGATCCCGGTTCGCATGGCGAGAAGAGCGCCCATGTTACGAGTTACTGTTTCGCCATCCTGGCGATCATCCTTGTTTTCTTCTTGTTCTCGTGGTGTGCTATTTGGTTGAGGCGGAGGGTGACGGGCGGGAAGGTGAAGAGGTCCGTTTATGATAGGGATTATGCGGGTGCTGAGGTAGGTGGTGATATTGAGGAAGAGGTGGGGGTAGAGGAGATGAGGGAGGAGAAGTGAGGTATTTATTTACTTGACTCTTTTATTGATTGCTTATGGGCTAGTTAAGGAGGTGGTGGTAGTCGGGGTGGAGGTTGCGGGATGTAATGTGATGTAATGTGGTTAATATGATATCCTGTGGGTTGAGTTGAATTGATGGGTATAGTGGTAATTATACTAATAAATATGAGTTTACTTTATAATACATATACAGATGAGTATCACTTTGACCACAGATAAGTTACATACAGTTAGTTCAATTGAAATCCCTCATATACCTACTTACTGTGAAGAAGAGAGGCCGTCAAGAAGAAATGTCAATATGACGCGTTAGAAAAGAGAAAGAGAAGAGATGATATCATTTCACACTACTCCGTATCAAAGACCCCCATCATTAATATGCTTAATCCATTAAACCTTCTCCCAGCTCGTCTCGCTACTCCCCCCGCTTCCATTCTCCGCGGGTGTCTGCTGTCCGGTCCGCAACCCCAGCATCCAGCCTACCAGTCCAGCGGGAACCCACTCGCCAATGAAATGGTACGACCGTGCCCCCCGACCAACATAGATCACCGGGTTCTTGGCCACCTTTCTGCCGAAGATATCCTTCGATGGCGGGTCCAGTGCGTCCAGGACAGCGTAGTGTAGAGCCCGGGCCGGTGATCCGCGGATCGTGCTGGGCCCTGCGGACGCGGCAGGTCGTTGCTCGATGCTGTTGAGATACTGCGAGGCGTACAGGGATCGCTGTTGCACACTCCAGGCGAGGACTTCCGTGCCGGTGATGTGACTCTGAGCGTTGCGGTACTGTGGGCCTAGGTCTATGTTACCGAGCTTGAGTTCCACGACGTCGATGTTGTTTTGTTGTAGGAGGCTGAGTTCTCTGCGCAGGGAAGTTGCGAACCCTGATAGTGCGCGAGTTGTTGCGACTTCGGGTCCGGTAAAGGGTGCGGAGAGGGATGAGGAGATGGACGGGTAGGCGACGACGATGGTGCTGTTGGTGTTACGGAGGGTGAGGAGAGGGAGGAAGATCTGGGTTGTAAGGATAGGGGAGAGAAGACGGGTGTTGACGGTGTCGATCCAGGAGGAGGGTGGGATTGTAGCCACTGGGCCGGAGGCGTAGTTTGGAGAGGGTACGAGGATGAGGCCGCTTAGTTGGCAGGTGTGCGGGGGCACACCGGCCATCGGCGACTGAGGTCGAGAAATGAGGGAGTAGATCTCATTCAAGGAGGGGTGTATTTCGGATGGTGAGGAGGGTGTCTGTTCAAATCGATATTGTCAGTTTCACGCGAGATTCCTGCGAGATTTATTGCGCTTACGGCTGAGAGATCCAACCAAAGGGCTTTGATATCTGCTCGATTGTCCGACTGCACGATGTGCTCCTCCTCTGCGGACGTGACTGTCACGTAGACTATGTATCCTCGACGTTCCAGATCGGCGGCGATCGCTCTGGTCATCGGCTCATGGGGCGACCCGGCGACGACTGTCGCATATATCAGACTGCGAAGTTTAAGAGAAGTGGGAAGTTTACATACCCACTATTTCCTTCCGGGCTCCATTTCCAGCTCGCCTAGCTCTCCGTCGCTTTCCATTCAGCTTCTTATTCCCATAGTACAGCACACAGCTGGTGCCCAAGAAGGCGATAAGGGCGGCGCTCCATGCTCGGTTGCGCAAGACCCAACTGTGCACGCGATCAACAAGTCCTCGCGGTATAGGCGGACTGGGTCGATTTCTGGATACGGGCCGAACGGAGGTGGGTAGCCATGACTGGCTAGAGAGGGTATCGCGGAGTGCGTTGGCTGCGTGGTCCACTTGTCGGTCGATCGACTCGGCGACTTGGAGGGAATATCTCCTTACGTCATGCGGTATCGAGGCAAGCTGGGGAACAGGAAAGCGTCAGTACAAAGGTGGCAAGCAGAGGGCGCATGCTACCAACTCACGTAGTCGAAGAAAAACTGGTCGTCACTAGTCATGGTGATGCTGTCTGCACTCAGGAACCCGAGCTTTCTGAGATAAAGAGGTTGATGAAGATTCGCCGGCAATGAAGAATCCGATTCTTATCGGCGGGCGGGTCACATGAGCCTTTCCGCCCTATTGGAGCGCCCGGATCTATACGGCTGCACCGTTGATGTGAATGCTGCAGTATATACAACAAGCATATGATGGGTCGTAAAGGGCTTGTTGGTGGTTTTCAACATGCGTTAATCTGGTACTTAAATCTCGAAAGGTGGGGTTGGAACACCGACGATAGTCGTGTCGATATGCCATTGTTATTGGCTGCTACATATTCATATCATTTGTCTGCAACAGTTAGTATAGTACTTCGTACTGGTAAGAAGCCCCTTGGGTGAGATGAACGCAACGGGCGTAATGATACATCGAAAGCCGCAAATACCAGTAGCAGCATGTCTATTATAGAAATACTATAGCATTACCAAATCCCAGAACTACCATGCCAAAGAGCTGGCTCCGTCACAAGACTCCCGTTAAGACCCTAGCCAGTGACATCGGTGTGAATGGGCCGAGAGGGTATAGTAAGGATGAGTGTGAAGTGTATCCAAATAAGATCTTTTGGCTATTAGTATGCGTATATATATTCTCGGCAATTCTCGCTACCGCGTGAGTTATAGAGAGACAGTAAGCTGAATCTGTGCAAGCTTGTTGTCTATTGGAGTAGTCCGGACACATGGTAGCTACCTATACTAATACAGCGGCTCGAGGAACCTGTCTGCGAGGTAAAGGAACACTAAAACACAACATGAATTGAGGAAGCTCATCGACGTCTCTGGGAAGAGACGATGGATAGATTGATTTCCGTGTAATTTGGGCCTCCAGGCATGCTGTAGGAGCCATGTTAGGGGACTAATTCAAAAAAGGCACGCTTCAGAACTTTCTGTGGCGATCATTTCACACAAAAAAAGAGATAATAGAAAAGAAAAGAAAATACTCGATCATGAAGATGCAATTGACTGGAATCAGCATATATATCCTATCTGTATCTCCGCGAACAGGCAAAAAATTGTAGGGGTGGAAAAAAGGATGACCAGACTGGGGCTCGATCCCAGGACCTTATCGGTGTTAACGATACGTGATAACCAACTACACCATCCGGCCAACTTGTTGAAAGGGTGCGATAAATACTGCCTCATAAATTAAAAATACTATCAATATGGCTACGCCATCTGTCACAATCAAGCATGCAACACACCCATGTAGATGCTCTTTTGTAACTCAAAGTAATGACAATTATAATAGCTACATTACTAGGAGAAAGTTTCCCCAAATCTACCTGTGTTAACTCATCCCTTAAGTGGGTTGGGCTCAGCTGGCCTAGCCTATTCGTGACTCTGAGGTGCCACGGAAGGCCAGACGCCTGAAAAATATATATGTGGGATGTGGTTAACTTGAAGTAGGATACAAGCCCTGCATTGTTTTGCCATGTTTGCTCACAGATGTATCGAGGAGCCCCAGTCATGTGCAACACTAAATCCATCAGCAACCACGCAGGAACGCTGCGGTACTCCCACCAGCTGTAGGGGACCAACTTGCGTATCCTTAATCTAAGTACCTGCCCACATCACATACAGTCAACAGAATGAGAATTTCGTGTCAAGAGCCAAAGGTACAAAGAAATGTCACCGGAAGAGGAATTCCCCGCTCATCTATCCTAGGAAGTCTATTCGCAGTGGCTCACCAGGTTTTGGAGTATGCTAACCCAGCCCAGAAAACATAGATTGCGGATTTATGGCACTGTTCAGTCATTAATATTGTATGCATTCAAAGAGATTCGAAATCTCCCATGCCTGATCTGACAATCTGACCATTAAAAGGAGCAAGTACAATCAGCTCAGTCAATCCTTTACCAGATGTTACTCGGATCCAATTATCGGTAAACCATACGAGTAACGTCTGCGATGAATCAATCACAGTAGCATCCTCTTTCGCAGCATAGCATTACTATGCTCCCCAGCCTCATTGGTACCACATTGCCTGGAACATGTCTGCACCACGCTGAGGTAGTATTGATGATTGGCTGACCACTACACCACAAGCAGTCTGATATTTACATTCTTGATATAAGATTGCGATGCTCTTTCACATCAGATGGTATGGTGTTTATCAGAAATAAGTCGAATCCGGCAACTCCGACACGCCTGTGCCTCTACCGTGGGTCTCGGCAAAGCGAGAAAACTCGAGTGTTCCCGGCTTCAGAGATCAGCACGATGTATCGATAACCTTCACATTTCTAGGTTTTCTATCAGGTCGCTGGATCGGAAGCTTGAATCTTTTCGAATAAGGTAGTGAGTTTAATCCGCAATGCCGAAACGTACGGAAGAGTTGACCGATGTTTCGAAGTGGATCATTGCCCAAGATGTGCGATTCCCAGACCGAATCATTGCGGGGCGCCTCACCCACTGCCGAGTCATTCAGCCTAAGGACTTATCTAGCCGCCGTCTACATCGGCCGAACCAATTATGTCTGAGTTCGAGATGGCCAACCACAGACTAGGGATCGCCCACAGTGTTCTGACTGCGTGTCTGTATGGTGAGAGAACAATCGGATGCCCCCCCCTGAGTGCTGGGTACTTAGCTTGGTACCCTATCGGGAGCGAAATCTAGTCGCCCTGCCAAGTGCCACCTCCTCTAATAGTTGGCCTGCTATGAGCCGCTAATCGCTGGGGGTCCGGGTTGGTGATGTCAATATTGTCCTGATCATGCAAGCCCCTCAGCCTGTCTACTTTCATGGTGCCGTAAGGTAGCCACTTGGTTGACCCGCATCAAAGGCAACTTATTAAGTAGGAGGAAAGGAACAGACAAGTTTATGCTACGTAAAAGTTCAGGTAGAAAAGGGGAATACGGCGGGAGCCAATGGTCCCGTTCGGCAATATACACGTTCCACCTTAGCTTCCATGCAGAGCTTCCTCGGTATATAAGCAAGGAAAAGCCCCTGCTTACCGACTGGACCGAAGACCCTTTTTGGTAAGTTGCCAATGCTGTGTTTCAGTTTTTTACAATTAACCAAACATATGGCACATCTTTTAGCTTGATTGCTCTCTTAGCCGTTCACGAGCTTTAAAACCCACGACTTTCCCTTTACCAACCTTGCCACCCCTCAGAGCATGTTTTCATTCCCTCACCAGGGTTCCTTCAAGAAATTGGAGAAGGTTTGTACTTCTTATCCAGGGGACAAATAATGAAGGAAGAAATTGAGGGTTTTCTGATGGCCCAAGTCGCTAATTGTCACGTTAGTTGGGCCAGGGAACGTATGCAACGGTTTGTTCAGCCATGCGTTGATTTGTGGTCGACAGGTACAGTTAGTGGTCCCTGACAGCGTATCTGCCTTTTATTTCAGGTTTACAAAGGACGCAATCGCGAGACGAATGAATTAGTGGCCTTGAAAGAAATCAACCTCGATGCTGAGGAAGGCGCACCCTCAACGGCTATCCGGGAAGTCTCATTGCTGAGACGTCTTACACATGAGAATATCCTGACCTTGCACGATGTAATAAATGTTGAAGACAAATTGGTGCTGGTGTTTGAATACATGGATAAGGACCTCAAGCGCTACATTGACACTCATGGGGGCCCCCTCGATGCCGCCACGGCCAAGTCCTTCGTCTACCAATTGCTGCGCGGTGTTTCGTTCTGTCACGAGAACGGCATCCTACATCGAGACCTGAAGCCCGAGAACCTACTACTCAATCAGGATGGACGACTAAAACTTGCTGATTTTGGACTTGGCCGTGCGTTCGGTATCCCCATCAGCAAATTTTCGAGTGACGTGGTCACTCTTTGGTACCGTCCTCCAGATGTGCTGCTTGGAAGTCGCACGTACACGACCAGCATAGACATCTGGTCCGTCGGATGTATCATGGCGGAAATATATACAGGTTCTGCATTATTTGCTGGAACAACAAATGCGGATCAACTGTTGAAGATCTTCAATATTATGGGCACACCAACCGAGCTCACCTGGCCAGGCGTCAGTCAGTTGCCCGAATACAGAAACGATTTCCCGCCTTGCTCCCCACAAAGTCTGCAACAACTTATACCGTCATTAGACCCTGTAGGGATTGACCTCCTGGGACGGATGTTGCAATTATGCCCAGAAGCACGCATCAGCGCCACTGATGCTTTGAATCACCCCTGGTTCCAGGGTTTTACTTAGAAGGTTGCGTCGAAAAATGCCTTCTATTATAGATACTGTCTCTTCAGTCGATTCTTCAGTCATACATCCAGGCGCTTCCTACACCTCTAATCAACTACAATCTTTCTATTGCGTTGTTTCGTGTATTACGACTTCAAGATTTTCCAGGCCAGGATGCCGTTTAAGTTGATTCCAAGAATTGCAGAAGAATCCTGCGGGTGATTGCAAAGCAACAGTTGGGTCCCCCCACCTCCCCCTACACAGAAGCCGGATGACTTGGCAATTCCCGTCCGGATCCACACTGATTATCGGCCTCTATATCGGGTCGGAGTTCAATCTCGTGAAGCCGATCACGTTATGTCTTCAGGAACATTGCAGCACATTTCATCAATGACTCTGATAGATTACATGTATCATACTTCTCCTTCGCCCATTACTGTTGGAACACCATAGTAAGTTTGTGCATAATGACGGGGCCTTGATAACATGCAATGGCTTTAGGAGCTAAAATACACAGTGCTTACAAGCTGCAATGCATAGCACTTCAGTCATATATGCTCTATCGAAATGCCACGAAATAGGTACTATTTCCTCCGTTCTTCCTAAAGCATGTGATTCCGTTCCAATGTTAACATTTCGCAGTCAAACTTGGATTCTAAGAGTCTTTACACATATTTCTCTAGCCTCACGGTCCATGTGACCGCGGACTATCTGTTAAACAAGCAGCCCGGCGCATTCACCCGCATTTGGCCAAATGCCCCATATAAGACAATCGAAGGTTTACTGAAAGAATTGGTTCAACCGTGTAACGCAGCATTGAAGGACCACAAAATGATGATCTAAGACATAGGAAGTCTATTCATCGTTATATCTTCTAGCACAGAACTGATTGGGGGAATAGGGGATGTAGTAGTTCGGTCAGAATATATGAATGCTGAAGACCTGATCTACGACCTCCCTGTCTGTTGGTCATGACCGAAGTTTGGCCAAGTAACAATGGCACATGTATCTGATACGATTACATTTACCATAAATCCGTGCTAAAATAGACATCAATGCAGGTCGATAAGAGGAACTACAACTCCTTAAGCCCCATGCCAATTAGCATAAGCACCTATTTAACCTAACTCCGTGCTCAATAATCAACCCCAACCATAACACCAATCCCCTAATCTTATGCACAATCCATAAGCTCCACACCAATCTGCCCGCAAACCGGTACTTCTGTCTCTCCCTCCCTCGTCCAAACTATTTCACCTTCTTCTTCAAGCTTCAATGAACTTCTTGTCATCTTCCATGTCTTCACCATTAATCTTAGGCACAAGAACAGGAGAAGACGGCACCTCCGCCTTCCCCTTGATCGCCTTGCCATTCTTTCGGGCCCTCTTGGGAGTAGGGGTATTTGGTGCAGAGGATCCTGATCCATCAGGAGCGCCTCGCTTGCCCTTCGTGAACCTGAAGGTGATGGAGCTGCCGGGCTTGCGGTACTTGCCTAGCTGCTCGCTGAGAGCCTTGCCAGTGGGCTTGTCGTCTCCGGCTATGGGGTTCAAGTTAGTGATAAGGTCGGGGTTGTCGTGTGTGTCTGTGAGGGGTGTATACTTACGCCAGGCATCGACGATCTTGTCGAGATCAATCTGGAAAGTCTGAGTCTCGAAGATGAGACGGAGGAGCTGGTGTGAAGCATGTTAGTTCGTCTTTGTATATATTAGTATTGTATGGGTGTGTGCTTGGGGAAGGAGGTTGAGAAGGGACATACAGTTGCCTTGTTCTCATCGGTCCAGCGAGTCATTTTGACAGTTTATAGTTGAACTTGTTCAAGGAGATTCTAGTAGGTGAGCTTGGAGGTTCTGTGCGTCTGAATGTGTGGGTGGCCGAGAGGATGAAGAAGAGAGTAGAGCACCGAGGAGAGAGAATGAAGAAGATTAGGAGAGAAGGAAAGGAGAAGATAGAAGTAGTACTAAAAAGTGGGAAAGAGAGATCCTAGTGAATGTCTGGAAAAGCAGATCACAGGATTGTGGTTTACTTCAGTGTGACCGGTGAAGTGGGCCTGGTTTATTATCGTCGAGAGCGGTGTTGAGTGATAGGAAGAATCTGCTTGGAATGGATATTGATCTTATCAATGTCTGCTCACTTAGCAGATTCTCTAGTTGTACAGGATTTCCTGACTAAGTTTCATGGGAAGCATCACTCACTGCAGTGCTCTGGATGAGAGCAGCGCTGACGATTTGGAGCAGATGTAAAGAACTAATAGGAAGGGTGGTGCAAGGCCAAAATATCTTTCATACATCCTGCATTCAGGCATCAGTTAGTGCGATTCAGGTGTTCTTGCCACTGTTTTCCCTCTACTACTCGTTCAAATGTCTTGAACAGTCTACTATTCCGTACATTGAAAGCCTCTCGGGTGAGTTGCCATGCAGCGTCACTCAATAACTTTTGTCTATAATATAAGAATAATAAATTCTATGCACTTATATAATTCCAGCATAGACAGTATATAGTCTATCTTCTGGAAACTATTCCATATGTTCCACTTCTCTTGTAGTTTATGATATCCCAAGTGCTATACAGATCCATTTCTAAGATATACCAGCAAACTATATAGCGGAGCAGGAGACACATTCCGCAACGCTAAGCATAGCCATAATAGTACGTCTCAACTATGCTACCATCTAACCACGCTATGTAGACCTCAATAGATTACTAAACAAGAAGAAGACCAGAGAATTTCCCTTCGATCAGAATAAAAGTCGTTGAGTGGCTAACCACCCGATTGGTCGTGCCAGCCTCAGGCACATATCCACGTGATTCCCGTTCCTGGATGCCTGGATGCCTGGATTAGGAATCGAATCGGAGTGGCACTCAGTTCCTATTCTTCCAAATGATTCTTTCTGCCTGAACATCATCATCATCTTTCCCCCTCCAACGCTTGGGGTCATGTCTCTCATTTATTCCAGCGTGTTGCTATCCTGTTGGGACACGTTTTCCGCTCACTGACGCAGTCCAAGTGTGGAATATATCTGGTGGAGGCGGTAGCAAGCATCTGCATCTAGATCTGTTTCCGCTGTACTTCAAATAACGAGTCACTTTCCCGAAGTTCCTTGATATCCTATCTGTTTATCACCCTCATCTTCAAAGCGCGGTTTTGAGACTGTATTCTCAGGATTTTCGCCACCATGCGCGAAATAGACCCGCTCGTTTTCGAATACCAGCATGAGAAGCAGCGACCACGAGAATCAGAAGCGTTACTAATCCTTAGAAAAGTCGCTTCGCTGGTAAAACCCATCATGCGTCGACGAGACTGGAAAGTCGGGACGCTCTGTGAATTCTATCCTCATCAGCGGAACCTGCTTGGCTTGAACGTCAACGCGGGCCAAAAGATCTGTCTACGGCTGCGGTATCCTTCTGATCAGCGCCAGTTCTTACCTATCGAGCAGGTAGTGGATACGATGCTTCATGAGTAAGTGATTATCTATTTTCTATCACGTTTCCCCCATCTTTTTCTCCGCTTAGAGAGAGCGTTAGTGGTTGATGGTAGTGTATAGGCTGTGTCATATCGTGCATGGACCTCACAACCAGCAGTTTCATGCACTTTGGAATCAGCTACGAGATGAGCATGAAGAGCTTGTCATGAAAGGCTACATAGGTGAAGGGTTCCTTTCTGAAGGGCGACGGTTAGGGGGACGGAAAATGCCCGTCGATGAGGCACGCCGTGTAGCCAGAGCAGCTGCGGAGCAGAGGCGGTCTCTATCTGCTGGATCTGGACGACGACTTGGTGGAGCGCCTGTTCTGCGCGGAACCAATATGCGCCGGGTCATCGCTGATGCTGCGCAGAGGCGCATAGAAGTGACAAATGGTTGTGCCTCAGGCGCTGACAACAGTGCCGAACTTGCAGAGGAAGCCTCCAGGAATGGCTTCCGAACTAAGGCAGAGGAAGACGATGCCAATGAGCGGGCCATCATGGAAGCGTACATCGATCTGATTGAACAGGAAGAGCGTGAGAGATACGGCCCTTCCTATATTCCGCCGAGCCATGATAATCCCGCAGGTCCGCGGACAACGCTGTCTCCGCCACCTGTTCCGGAGAGCAGCAGGCCGAGAGGGCCGTCGCAGCCTGCAGATACTATTGACCTCGTCTCGGATGATAACCTCTACAATAAGCCATGGTCATGTCCGACATGCACCCTCGAAAACCCAGCAAACTTCCTTTGCTGTGATGCGTGTGCATCAGAACGTCCGCGGCCAACAACCACAAGATCTGTTTCTGGCCCTCCCACTACTACTGCTAGTTCGAGTCAGCCAAACCCAGCAGTGAACAAGAACAAGCGGTCGATTAGTCCGTCAACCCGTTACACTGGGTTCAAAAACCGGACTCGTGCTGTTGAATCATTAGCCGCTCTCGAACGGAACGCCAACAAGCGACCTCTTGGATGGCTTTGCGATAACTGCGGGGCTTTCATGGAAACCGAGTGGTGGACTTGTTCCAACTGTGGCTTGATGAAGCGCGCATCATGAATTATTTAGCATTTTGAGCGTAGGCGTTTGGCGCGAGAGAGGCGTTCTCATTGGATTGGTATGCGGCAAGAAATCCATTAATTTTGACCTATCACGAGGTATGAGTCTTATATCACATAGTGCATCGTCAGACGGTCCTAGATCATCTACCCGGAGTACATAATGTAAAGATCATCGTATCTTCGACAGGAACGTCAAAGTTAACATAGAAAAGCTATCTCTTGACAGAATCAAGCAGTAACAGCCACCTGCTTCCCCTCCGCCGTCTGCACCCTCAACTCCCCCTTCGTAATCTTCCAGATCATCCATTCGCTCACAGACCGGTCGTCATTAACCTCTCCCTCCCTCAACAGCGTAATCACCGCACTCTCCTTAAGCCTATGCATCGTAACAGTTCGATGCGGGCGAGTCAGCAATGCCACGCTTTGGCGCGCCACATTCGCCTGCTCGCCAGGGGCCGTAACAACACGATGAAAAGCACTATGCAGCACACCTCCCGTCCACTTCATCAGGGAATCACCCACATTGATCAGCGCACACCCCGGTCTTGGACGAACATACTCCCAGTTCTCTGTCACGTTCTCCTTCCCCTTTGGCAGAACCTGGAGGTCCACCCGAGACATTAAACAGCATTGTCAGGGCGCCTACATCGGCATGCACTAATCTAAGGATAGAGGACCGAAGATGGAGTTCATGTTGCTGCTGCTGATGATATATCTGTGCCCTGAGAATGGCCGGGAGGGGAAAGGCCAACATTGCTGCAACACGTCAGATGTACATGAGCTCGTCTAGGTGATATGGGGATGATAGATGTCAATTGGTCGCATCTGCTTAGCTTAGAGCTTCCTTAACTTGTTTTGCTTTTGTTGTGTGACTCTCCGAGGAGCCAGCCAGGTAGGGAATAGTGGTAGATAGATACGATGGACATCAAGCCAAGATTGTTCTCTCGAGTCAGCTGTTTGCTTATTGGTCTACGCAGTCCTTACATTTAATGACCTGGGTACTCCACACATTCAAGTATAGAGTTCAATAATGAAGCTGTCTTGATGTCCAGCTAGTATGACTGAGTGCTACTAGCAGCCCGAAACAGGATGAAAATATACGCCCCTCGAGTCCGCTAATAGCAGACACGTCTATATCTTGATTCTCGAATTCAGATTCCAGATGACAACCCAGAACTCAACCCCGCTCTCTGCTTGCTTTTCTCATCTGGTATTTCCATTGAGATCTGGCATCTACTACGACCCAAAAAGACTCAACTATGGCTCGTGAGTGTTCTGAGCCAGAGCCCCTTTCACCTACTCTTTACAGACATCTTTCTTCATGGTGCCCAACCATTTGCACCGAACCAGGTCCTGACAGCTGTTAAACACCCGGCATCATGAACTTACTATTAACATTTCTATGGCTTGTGGGTAGGGAAACGAGATCTGACCCTGCCACATCATACATCATCCATGTATAGCAGGCCAAGTCCCATTAGATATCGTACCAATAAGCTTTATCGCCATCCACTGGATTTTGAATCGCGCAGAGGCACTAATTGCATACTCCATAACTAGCCAAAGTAGGCGGACATTAGGTGATGGCAATTACTCCTACCGCTTTATTGACCGCCATATGCGGCAGAAACTATTGAACCTCGTTGAAAAAACCTCGGATTTAGCGGGATTTGGAAACATACAGCTCCCAAAGAAGTCATCTCAGATTCTGTATGTTTTGGCGGTGTGGTGTGGCAGTATGTTGGGATGAGGAGGCCAACAAGCCAATAGTTACCAGCTGACTAACTTCTGACTCACCCACCTCCCCGGCGCAACACTTCCGCCGACGAAAAATAGCTCCCCCCCCCATTTTCTTCATTTTCTCCCACTTTTCCTTTTCCCACAGCTGGAGCTACTTTTTCTCTCAGCTTGACTCTAATGCCCGAGTCGCGTATTACATCGCCACAAATTCGACATTGTCACACTACACGACTAATGATAGTTCAGGTATGCATACCAATCTCAGTTTATTTCTCCTTAATACAGCTTCCATATCCAAAACCGAGGGGTAGAACCAATCAACACAACCTACACCTATATGATGAGAATTTTTTTCATGAACCGGTATATTAGGAAGAGCCGGAAGAGGAATGGCAGGGACCCCTCTAAAAAAAAGAAGGGTGTTCACTGTCGTCGATGCTTATAATGGTTCTGCTGAGTGGTGTTTTAAAGTTGTGATTTGGTTCTATCCATCCCTCTCGGTTTTGGGTTGGATTGACTGGCTGAATTCTTTCTGTCCGCTATATGTGTGACTGCCAATCTGTTGGGTACTTGTGCTGACAGGTTTATTATAGGTTTTCTTGACGAAGCTCAGGCCAATATACTAGTAGATAGATGGAATACAAGTGTCTAGTATCATGTTGGAAGCTATTGACGGATCGTTTTCATAATTTGACATATCTCTATATCGATTTACATTGTATCGAAGCCGTTCGTAAACGTGTAACTCCAGGTATAAAACTTTTCGTGGCCAAACAATCCAAAACACAAAACTCAGATCTCAACGCCATTCAGATGCATGTGTAATACAGGTAGGTATATATCGCTGGCCCGCGCGCAATCAGGCAATGCTCGTGAATTGCCGCTTCTTGCCCGTGCCCGTCTGCCTCTCCTGCTCCTCGTAGGCTGCTTCATCAATGTAATCCTTTGTGCTTTGTTCCTGGATCTGTTGGCCGACGAACTGCAGAGCGGACAAGTTGAAGCCCATCTCGTCCTTCTGGCGAGCCAGGACCTGGCGTAGCGTAGCTCGGATACCATCCAGCATCGGCCTCATCATCTTGCTAGCAACGATCTGGCGGTGGTGCGTCTTGAGGATGAAGAAGAGTACACGGCAGGTGAGGGGAATGTTCCACTCGCGGCTGGCCCAGATATTGAGGAACGTGAAGAGAGCAGGTACCTTCGAGAAGGGCAGGACAAGCAGAGCGTCCTGAAGCGCGGCTGCGGGGATCTTCTGCACGACGTTCAGGAGATACCGCTCTGCCGAGATGTTGTTCAGAGCCATGTACTGGGCATTGCGCTGTGGGGGTGCAGCGTTAGGCTGTCTGGCCTTGAGGGCGCGCCATTGGCGCATGACCTCCAAGTCCTCCATACCCAAATCCAATGCCTCCATGATCTTTTCACCTGCCATTAGCGTCTCCGCAGTTTGTTTTCCGGCGTCAACGGCTTCAGCCTTCTCTCCATCCTGGCCATCCTCGTCCTGCTCCAGGGAGGCCATCAGGTTGTTGTCGTACATCTCTTCCAGTTCCTTCTCCCTTTCTTCCTCCAGGAACAAGGGCTCATCAGTCTGCTCCCAGGTACGGATGCTCTTGTCATGACTGGCGGTGACGATGAAATCTCCCGAGTGACTGATAGTCAGAGCCCAGATTTCACCGTGGTGACCGGCCAGCTTTTGGATGTGTTCGAACTTGTCACCATCCCAGTACTTGATAACACGGTCCTTGCTAGCGCTGAAGAAGTTGTGCCCGTTACCATCCTTGTTGTTCGGAACGAAAGCAACTGCCATAACACTGTCCTCGTGGGCCAAGAAAGACTTGTGGCAATCACCAAAGTCCAAGCCCCAGACACGGACTGTCTTATCAGCCGAACACGTGACAATCAGCTTGCTGTCCCAAGAAATATCCATATTGAGAACAGGAAGCTTATGGCCGTAAAGGTTAAGGAAGAGTTTGAGGGAGTCGACAAAGAAGACCTTGACCGTGTTGTCCAGAAGTGCAACAGCCAGCAGCCGAGCATCAGGGGAGAAGCGAACGTTAAGGATGTCATCCGAAACCTTGAGCGTTCTGGTGTGCACCAGCTTGAGTCGGGGGGTTGTTCTCTTGGTACCAGGAATTTCTTCCTGAACCACCTGGAAGTTCCAGAACTTCGCAGATTTGTCGGCACTGCCACTCACCAAAGACTTGCCGTCGGGATGAACTTGAATGGACCAGACCGGCCCATCGTGCGCTTTGATCGTATCCAGAAGGGTTGACGAGGCGATATCGAAGACCTCAAGCTGGCCATCCTTGTTTCCAACAACGACAATCTTGTCACCAGGAAGAAAAGCAGAGCACAGAGCATAACCACACTCAAGGGTACGCAGGCAGGTTTGAGTCCGGACGTTCCAGATCTTGAGGCTGCCGTTGGAGGCCGACGCCAGCATCCGATCGTCCGAGCTCAACGCAACAGATCTGATGTCGGTGCGGTGGCCGGGGATGTCGACTGCCAAGTTCCGGCTGTAGTCTGGCTCCTCCTCATCCTTATTCTTCTTGTTCGCGGTCACGACGCTGTAAGCTTCGAGTTGGTTGTTTGTGGTCGCGGCCAGGAGTTGCAGACTTCCACTTGACTTTGTGCGAATCCAGTCAAAGGACCGGACCTTACCACCAGTTCGTACGATAGTGTGAGGAACAAAGACTTCCGAGACAGGCGCAGATGAGGCATCCTCTGATTTGTCGTTGGCATCCTCAGCAGTGGCTCCATCCTTGTCAGCTGCACGCTGCGCGTCCTTCTCCTTTCTCCTCTTACGCTTCCTAGCCAGGCTCTTCTGCACTTCCGTCTGCGAGCGAATGCGCCAGATCTCGACTGCCTTCTCTGAGCCGTGGATTCCAATATAATCCGCTCGAGGATGGAAGCTGATTCCGATTGTGCGGTCCTTTCCATTTCGGTAAAATATACCCCGGTCCGTTAGGATCTTCTGTCCCTCCGAGCCCACCTTCTCTTTGGAAATCTGAATCATAGCACTCTCATCAATCGACCAGACTTTCAGTTCTCCATCGTTTCCTGCCGTAATGCAGCCACTCTGGTCGGGTGAGAGGCCTAGGCTCCAACACTCGCCATTAGACTGTGCCACATGCGTTTCGATGCAGTGTTGCGCAGCCAGGTCCCAGACTTTGATCAGAGCGTCTTTCCCCGTCGTCAACAAGAAGCCCGCATGCTCACTGAGACCGGCCTCATTGAGCAATTCAATGGACGGGGTGAGGAAATGGAGCGACGTAATCTGATCGGTGTGTCCGCGCAGTTTGAAAAGTCCGACTTCCGCAACCAGATCCCATACGATGATGTCCGTGTCTCTCGAACCACTTGCGAGGCGGACCCCTGTGCTATCGAAGGCAAGCTGAGTGATGGCCGACTTGTGGCCATTGAAGGAGATAATCACCGTCTCGGTCCGCGAATCCCAGATTCGAATACTGCCGTCTTCATAACTGTATCACAGGGGGACATCCAAGCTTAGCAAGGTAGCATGAAAGGTTGCTACCATAATGAAGAAACTTACCCGACCGCAAAAATATCCTCATCCGTCTTGCTCCGCGTAATTATCGTCACCTGCGCCTTGCAAGATGTATCGTGCCATCTGCCTAGTAGTTCACCCTTCTTGATGTCCCAACAGAGAACCTCCTCGCTCGCGCCCACGAAGGCTCTCCCAGAGCCTGTCCGACGTGCGGAACCCGCGAGTTCATCGTCCCGGGCCCAGATCGCATTCGACGAGCCGGACGCAATGAGCCCGAAAGTCTTCGAATGCTCGAATTTGCTGAAGAAGTCAGTACACTGAAATTATTTTGGGAAGAATTGCTACACCCTTGAGCGTCTCACTTACAAATATGACTTCACCATCGTTGGGTGTTTTGCGACCTGGGAAAAAATTTGGGAGCTCGGAGAATGAATGCTATCGATAGGCGCAAATGGCGGCGGTCGCTACGGAGGGCGACAGCGACCACTGCCGGCCTCCCCCACCGCCTGCCGGTTCCCCAAAGCCCCCATCAACGTAACTCCCATCGTGGCAGTGACCCTCGTGGGATTGACAGCCAGAATTAAAGGGAAAGGAAATCGCAGGTCGAGAATCTGAATCTATTACTCAATATCATTGGATGCGTCCGTCAACATGCTTTTGCTAGACTATCACAACGTTCTCATCCACTCCCTCCTGACGGAGCGGTTCTCTGGGTACAGCTTCCCCCCCGCCTCCGGTATACGCCAGGCTACCATCTAACAGCTCCATTCATGCTTCCTTCAGAACCCCGCCCGTATCAATCGATCAGATCGTTTCCGACTTTGACGGAGTGACCTTTCATCTGTCTACGCCAGAATCCAAAACCAAGATCCTCATCTCCATCAACGTGAAATGCTTCCGGGAGCTTGTCCAGTACGGCGCCCAGGAGGTGCTGGAAAGGGAATACGGCCCCTACATTGTCACCCCAGAGCCCGGCTATGACTTCTCCGTCCTGATCGATCTAGAGAACCTGCCCGCCGAGCAAGAGGCGAAGGATGAACTCATCATGCGCCTGGCGCTGATGAAGCGCAACGCCATGGCCGCCCCCTTCGAGAGAGCATTCGATGAATTCGCCAAGTTAGCCGAAGAGGCTTCGAGATACACAAGCGAGACTGCGCCCCAGGGAGTTAAGGAGGGAGGAGAGGTTATGGCCATTCACTATCGAGAGGAGGAAGCGATTTATATCAAGGCCAGCCATGATCGTGTCACGGTGATCTTCAGCACAGTGTTCCGGGAGGAGACAGATCGCATCTTTGGCAAGGTGTTCCTGCAGGAATTCGTCGATGCCAGACGCCGTGTCCTCACCCTGCAAAATGCTCCCCAGGTACTCTTCCGAAACGACTGTCCTCTGGAGCTGGCTGGTGTGCCTGGCCTTCAGAACGGTAATGACGGTAGAATCAGCTACGTCACTTTCGGTATGTATTCGTTGTTATGCATCACCCACCGTTCGCAGTCACTAACCGCTTCTAGTCTTGTTCCCTCGTCACCTGACCCCCCAGAGACGCTATGAGAACATCTCCCACATCCAGATATTCCGTGATTACTTCCATTACCACATCAAAGCATCCAAGGTAGCTTTATATGTCATACTGCAGGCCAGTTCAATATGCTTACTAAGTCTCCAGGCATACATCCACACTAGGATGCGCAAGAGGACCGCAGACTTCCTCCAAGGTAAGAAGCGACCCCCAACAATAGTGGTATGTCCAGTTCACTAATGAATGATAGTTCTCAACCGGGCGCGGCCCGAGAACGAGGAGCGAGAAAGGAAGACGGCCAGTGGCCGTACTTTCAGGGTTCAGGGATAGAGAGCTGGCTCAAGAATATAATCTTTGTAAATTGCAGGCGAGGGGTGACATACGCACATGCATAAGTCCATTTTATTTTTTTTTTTTTTCTCTAGGATGTATAGATTGTCGAGCATCATAACTTTTATCTTCCCATTTTTCCTTCCTTTCATTACTTTTATTATTATTTTTTCTTTTTTGGCCCTCTCAACCTCGCATTGTCAAAACGCATGACAGCTGCATGTGGCTTGAAGTAGTAGTGCGGCTGCCTTGCTTTGTTTTATTTTCTGCAATATAGTTCTACTAACCAACCCATAAATACCGCTGGCTGCTGCTTCAGCTCTCCCGTTCCCTCCCTTCCGTGTGACGGATGTTGACAAGTTGGTGCAGAGCTGCAAACACCTGAAAATGAACGCTTTGAGGGAGTCTCCTTAATCCCCACTACAGTGTTTCACTTTCCCCATCTGTCGCAACATATTTATCAGTCTAACCTCCAAGCTTGTCCTGCACGTTAAGCACACTGGCGTGGGTCTAGTCACTGCGCTATTCCGCTACGGCCGACGAACACTCGCGCAGGATGCACTGGTTCGGAATCGAGCCTCAGATCGGCCGAAGCACTCCGATATGTTACCGTGGCTGTCTTCTAGCTGCAGCCACAAGTCCAGCTGGGTGAAAAGCACACAGATGACCGGGTTTAAGCGTGTGAACCATCCGAACCGCCCTATCAATGCACTTGATCGTCAAATATGACTCGGATCGCCTAACAGGTCGCCTTCAATTGGGCAAGGCATTCCCAGGGGATTGGTTCGGTGTCGCACATTGACTGCAAGGAGATTTAAGTGGTGTTGACTGCTGGCCAGGATCCGTGGGGGTCGTCACTATCTATCTAGCCAGCCTCGATCGGAGAAACGGGGGGGCTGTAGTGGTGATGTGATCTCAGCTCGGGTCTATTCTACGATGATCTTTTCCGGTGTCTCCGCAGGTTCTCATTCGACACTGCGATGTCTCTGCCTATTTGCTGGCTGGCTGGGAGTTTGGAGGGGTATGGCCGTCTCAGCGTGCTGTCCTCCATATTGGGTCTATCTATCATACGGGGTACATGCCGATAACCGCTTCCTGCGACCTTAGTGAGATTACCGCATAATTTCTTTTGGAATCCGACACCAAGGGATTCACGCTGCATTGGCGTCCCCATTGAATGCGCAATGACCAAGAACGGGCAACGCTGACCCCAATCCGTACAATTTTCCAGATATCAGCTCCTCTAGCTCAGTCTAGGCACGAGCAGTGGGGAGAATCGCCTATGATACTGGACACCCGCTCCGTTGAAGCTGTACAGCGGGTATAGTTTAGCCTGACCTGCACTAACAAATGAGAAATACCGCGACGGGTCGCGACAGAAAGCATGCGCGACCAAATGTTTGAGCTCGACGGTGAGATGCAAACATATTGGACGTGAGCCACGTCCTATCCCAACCAGGTCATGCAGGGTTTTTGTACGCTCAGCACTGCCTAGCCGATAGTGCGCTGTAGACGAGGGCGACCATTCGCCTTGATCATGCCAGGTCAGCTGTCTAGTTGGTCAAGTGGATTTTCTAGTAAAAGCGCCGTCTATATCGAACCTGTTCCCACCCGACTAAAAAGGTGACAGCAATAGTGGGAGCCCGAGTAAACCCTTTTCTATTTTTCTGACCGCAACCCAATGGCGACACCTGTTCGTGGCTATTTGGTTTTCGCTTACGTTTCCCCTTTCTTCTACCTGGCTGCGAATTATTACTGAGGTTTTAATTAGAGCATCCTTACTCGCTACTTCGTCCCAGCTGAGAATGTGACCATCTCTTCGGCTAGAGGAGTCAGTCTCGACGGTGAGAACTACTAAAACAGTCGGGGGGACCCCGCCTGCAAGGTATCCCTGTCAGGGCGCAGATTAGCCCTTCAGAGCGTCGCAACCCTGCATGCTATATATCGCAACGTCTCTGCTCCAGCGCGAAAAATTAGACGTGATCCGTAGCAATATCGGCCACGGTCTTGCTCTACGATCAGCGCTATCAATCGTCGCGCTCCTCCTGCAGTTTCTCTTCCCTTCGCTGCCAACAAACAGCTCTCTAGACCACCCAAGCCAATATAACGATCCTAAATTCAACGCTAACACCAAGGGCATTAGCTTCTTTTATCTTTTTGACTGGCTCTCCCAAACCTTATACCTTTATTGGTTTGTCGTAGCTTACTCCCGCTTCATCACCCTCTGGGCCGGCCATGTCGTCGAGGGGACCTTGATCTGCGGACAAACAGAGTGGGCGACCACGCAGCGCCAAAAATACGGGCGACAACACTTTACTGGCAGCCAGAAGATCTTCTGGACGTACCGAAACACTCAGCCAAGTCTTACAAAATGTCCGACAAGATTAGCTTATTACCTCTGGAACTCATCCTTCACATACTCTCCTACCTTCCCTTCGAGTCCTTGCTTGCCTTCGGCGAAACATCTCGCACCAACTATGAGTCCCATACCCTCTGTCTTGAATGTCTACGATTAGGAGTTTTTGAGAAGCGCATCCACTCTGTGATATCCTTACTCCAGGCTGGCTGGACCACCCCGGATCAAATGGCACAGATTTCCAGTCACAATAAACAAGCGAACGACTACACAATATCCATCATCCAACCTGCTATGAGCCGGCTTGCAAGCGACCTGGACAGCAAGCCTCTGCTAAAAATCAAAAGCTTGAAAAGACGGTGCCCAGCACTACTCGAAAAATCCCGGACATTGGAGCAGATGACTCGGGAGCAGAACAGGGTTTTTGCCCAAGTGGTGAATCGGTATGGTCGAGGCCTCAGGAAACTGGAGTTCATGGCGTATGATCTTGACAGCGAGGGTGCCATGGCTCTAGCTTCTAAATGCCAGAATATATTGCATCATCTAGCATTGCGCTTCGAGCATCCACATATTCGGGATGGCCCCATCAGACCCAGCACTTGGATGAATCCTGCCCCAGGAAGTACGGCATGGAACATGTTCCTCGGTATAGGACGGTACCCGCAATTCGGCCTTTGCGGGCTACAGACTTTGATCCTGGAGCGGGCGGGCATCACTCCGTGGCAGTTGACCATGCTTGTGAAGAAGAACCCCAAGCTGACTGTTCTCAAACTGAGAACATGTCGCGGTGCGCAGCCCGAGTTTTTAAACTGGCTAGGTGGAGTGTACTACGAGCCAGAAGAGCTGGGGAGAGATGAGGACAGTCTAGCTCCTGGTCGGAATTTGAAAGTGCTGTGGTTGGAAAATTGCCACCAGGTGCTTGCCCATCCCATCGAAAACTATGAACACCTGCCCGACGAAATCTGCGACTATGGTCTTGGATGGGTTAGAGGTCTGACTAGCTTGCGTGTAAGTGGAATCTTGTCCCGTGATGCCTGCATTCAACCAGCTGACAGAGTTATCTTGACAGTCTCTATCTTTCAGCGAGAGCGCGAATATCCCGCCCGAATACATTGACAGAGCTAATAGTGTGCTTTGGAAAATACCAGAAGTCATCTTGCCTTATTCGGGCCATGGGGACAAGGCCCCCATCGAAGTTGATCCTGGATTGTTGTAGTCCACACCGGTTGGCTTATTTTTCTTTTTTTCTTGGAGGGTTGGGGCATCTTGGTGTTGCTTCTTGCAGGTGACTGGAGAGGGATTCTCGTTTACTGTGTTTTTGAAGATAGACCATTATGTGCAAACACCTGCATGTCTGTGCTGATGCTACAAGATAATGTAAATCAAATACATGACAGCACATGATATATATGATAAGGCAAAGCTAGTAGACGTGTATCATATGGTTCTGTCTGTATGGTGATTCACAAGTACAATACAAGTTGTCTTACTGAAGTACCCGACAGTGGCACAGCAGACCCCAGATATTTGCCGACTGGGTGACCACAGCTCACAAAGTTGGGACCGTAGAGAGGCCTGGCTAGACCTTTACCGATTCCCTGATTAACGTGTCCACTTTCCTCCCAGGTAGTGTCAACTGCTCGCCTGCCTAAATCATAGATAGCAGTGAGGATAAAATGGCTGAAGAGCAGGTACTTCTCTGGCTGTTGACCCCGTGAGCGCCTTCTCGTTTCCCTCCCTGCATCACCCTGGCCAAACCACAAGAAACTCCCCCCCAACCCTGTGTAGTGTTAACACCCAGCATGATCATTCACTATCTCCCCTATCAGTCAAGCAGGCATGGGTCTGCTCTTGCAAACGATTGAAACTTACTGTTAACCTTCTCATCTCGTCTCTCATCGGCGGCTCCACCACTCATACGGACTCCGATACCCGCCGTACTGGGACATTCATGGAACCATCTTGCAGAGCGAGCAAAATGATACCGAGTCACAGATCCGCTTCCCAGCTATGGGCCATTGCTCGGCGGAAGCTCTTTACTAGACGAGAGCCCAAGAGCAGCGAGCATGACTACCCACAACACCGCTCCTTTGACTCTGTTTCCTCTTCTTCCTTCAGCGAACACACCGACGGCTTCTACAAGTACTCGTTGGAAGTTCTCCAACAGAGTGACGAAGAATACAGAGATACGGTTGAGAGCAGGGGAATGCGGTCTTCGGACAGTACCGGGATGTCTTACACGTCAGCTGTATGTTGGCTTTGGCATCTTGTTGTGATTCTGTCCCCCAGTTTAGCTGGAAGCTAACACTGGTTTGACAGCGAACGGCCCCTGCCGAGTTTCCCTTCTCTCCTTACGCCGTCGGCGCTGTCGAATGGAATTCGGCCTCGGGTTATGTCAAGAATCTGGATGATGCGCAGGGTCATGACGTTTCGTCCTGGAAAAATAGTGTGTTGGCTGTATACGTGAGGGTGTACACCGTCGCTAAAGTGGTCTTCATGTCTTTCATCCACTATGGAATTGAAGTAAGGAGACGATGAGCCCAAAGTCCAACACAGCAAGATAGCTGCTAACCATTGGGCATATGTGTTTCTAGTTGGATGGATTTAACGGCGGCCTAATGGTTTGCATCAGGGACGTAGAAGATGCCATCGCGTCCACAAAGATTGCTCCCTTGGTTGAATGTGTCGAGAAGTTGTACCATGCTCTTTATGCAAGGCTTGTGATGGAGCTTGTCGTTGTCGACTTATGCTCTTGCTTCAAGATTGAAGTTTCCCGCGTTTCTTCGCATAACAACTTCATGCTCCCTGAGCCACGCCACTTGTACAACATATTCCTGGCTTGCAAGCAAGTTCTCGACAGCTCGACAGTCTGCAGATTCCTTAAGAAAGACTTTGTCCAGAACTATCAGGCTACGTTCATCCACCGTGCTGTAACAAAGCTCAACAGTATGCCGTTTGTGATGGACGACCTTATTGGATATCGTCGATTCGCTCTTGGGATTATCGACAACCCGGATTCTCCATTTCGCCAGAGGTGGGCTGGGAGTGGCCTGATCTATCATATGCCACCGCCAAGGGTCCTGATCGTTCATTCTGAGAAATACATGTCTTTCACCCCAAGACAGACTTATCAGTTTATGATCCCACAACAGCCCCTCCCCTTCATTCAGCGGCACAATGCCGACCCAACATTCATGGAAAATGCACGTACATCGGACCACCGGCAGGCTGCGCTAGCCATGCTTGAAGGCAAGACTGTGGGAGATCTTCGAAACGAGGGCACCATTCAGCAGCTGATAGAATACGCCAAAAGGAGAAAGTGTGTATGCCAATCGTCCTGCAGTTGCGGCCAGGATTGTACACAGGAGCCGGACCGACTCTGCCCCTGCGCGGAGTGGAATATGATCCTGTTACTGACTCAGGTGAACGCAAACCGTGGGGCTCTTGGGCTTCGCGACCGATGCACCGTTCTTTCGAAGGCTGTGTTTCAGGAGCTTGCTTCCATCCGGGAAGATATTGACGTCTTCGTGATCGGATTGACACTGAACAGAGCCATTGGGATTTTCGGCGAAGAGATCCAGAAGGAACTATTTGCCGCCATAATTTAACCACAAAGACTGCAATTGAGTAGATGATCTGGGTTTTTACCGGCGTTTGGTGGCATGATGAGTGCGTTGAGGCGTTCATGGAGTGAGGAGTGTGTTTTGCTTTTTCTCCTTTGCTGAGATTACGTTTATTTTCCTTGGTCATTTCCCCTTTGAGTAGACATGTCTGACGATCATCATATTTCCGGAGATCTCGGGGTTGTACAACGGAAAGTGTTGGGGAATGCGAAAGTTTCCGAGAGGAAAAGTGAGCATGTCAGATCAGTGGATGGTTTATCGACGAGGTAGATACATCTTACATGGTTTACGTAGGAGTGGGAATGGGCAATATTCGATTTTAGAGAAAAACCAAATTAGAACCAAATTAGAATAAAGAATAAAATAAAATAAGACGGACATACAACCCTACTAAGTGATAATATGGGCCATCTGCAGGCCAATGCTAGCTCCTGTTACATGGTAGTAAGTAGTATGGCTGCATTTTGATGTGGGGGGGATGTGATGGATGTAATGTCAAGTTGTATGGGGAATTGAGTGCCTGAATGGAATGTATGATGGAGAGAGATCGATCTTCGAAGATCGCTCATACTTCATATTCCAAAAAACTTAAGCTCAAGCTCAAGCTCAAGCTCTCCTTTCTCAACAACTTTTGTAACTCAACCGTGAACAAGGTCAGGTGGGGCGCAGGTGACCGGGGATGGGGCAAGTTGGTCAGAAGTTGGCCGTGGTTCGCAAGTCTGGCAAGATTTTCATTTGGCTCTGGCCGAAATTCAGCTCCCCGAAAGAGTCTGTATCTGCGCCTGTGTGGGATTTCCGCCCGGCACAGCAATCTCTGGGAAACTTTTAGCGGGCATGGTGCCCAAGACTGTTGCTAGTTCGACAGGTTGTTTATCATTCATCTTCTCCTCCTCTTCTCCTCTCGCTTCGCCGGTAATTAGACGCAGCCCACTGTGGAGCGCTCATTCCGGGGCCCCCAGCATTTGGGTGCGACGATATCGCGCCGTCTGGCCTTCCTACGGCATCACCACTCCCATCCCGGATCCTAATCCACAGTTCCCCATCTCCCGTTCGCCTTTCTGCTTCCAGACAGGCTATGCTCTCTGCGCCAAACGGCCCTCGCGTCCCTTCCCCCCACCGTTCCTGTCTCCGCCCTCTTCCTCCTTTTCCGACCCGCTGACCACCCACTACCTGAGTCAGGATAAGAGATTATCCGTCCGGGGGGATCTGGTCCGCGGCCTGAACAACGGCGACGATGCTGTTTTAGTGGCGGAGAATTACCTCGCCGTGAACGATGGGGTCGGGGCGTGGGCAACCAAGCCGAGAGGTCATGCTGCGTACGTTGTTTGGTCCCTCAGTAGCAGTCTCCGCGGACACCCCCCTACTACTGACCCTACTGGATCCGTCTCATCCCTTCCCGCGTGCTGACATACCCTTCCTTGTTTACATAGGCTATGGTCTAGACTGCTCCTCCATTTCTGGGCTTTGGAAGTCGAACGAGACCCCAATGGACAGTCCGAATTAGATCCCATCGGCTATCTTCAACGAGCATACGAGGAAACCATCCGGGCAACGACTTCCCCAGGTGAATGGCTGGGAACTACCACATCGGTCACAGCGTTACTGCATTGGAAGCGCGATGCTACGGGGAACATACGGCCCCTGCTCTACGTGACCAATATAGGTGACTGCAAGGTCTTTGTCATCCGACCTAGCGAGAAGAGAATCCTCTTTCGAACCAAGGAACAATGGCATTGGTTTGACTGTCCTATGCAGCTGGGCACAAACAGCGTCGATACTCCTCGGAAGGATGCTGTCCTTTCATTGGTTGATATGCAGGAGGATGACCTCGTGGTGGCCGTGTCAGACGGCATCCTGGACAATCTCTGGGAGCATGAGATCCTGACTATTATCCTAGATAGTCTGGAGAAGTGGCAGCAAGGACGTCATGAAGATAAGGACTCGGAGTGGGCGCCCCCGGCTGTAATGGCGGATGAGCAGATGGTGTTTCTAGCCAGGGAGCTGCTCAAATCTGCTCTGGAGATTGCTCAGGATCCCTTTGCCGAGAGTCCGTACATGGAGAAGGCGGTGGATGAAGGACTGGCCGTGCAGGGTGGTGAGTGTCTTCGCATACCGGTTCAGCGCAGTAGACTAATCTTGGGGCAGGGAAAATGGATGATATCAGTGTGGTAATCGGTTCTTGCAGGAGGAGGCAGTAGGCCTTTCCGCTGGTAAACCTTGCACGCAGGCGGTTGGTTAGGACTGAAGCAGTTCTTACACAGCTCATGCCAGCACGGAGTTGACTTGCATAGCCTTTCATACTTTGACTTCCCGCACAAACCTGCGTCTTGATTTCTGTGGGAGAGGGCGTTCTGTAAGATGGCAGATGTCCGAATCAACTTCGGCTCGGCCGTCGGACAGTCGCTCAATCATATTGCATACGCACTATATGTGCATGGCATGGGTGGTGTATATGTTGCATGTTGGGATCCGGGGCCATTTGGAGGCCGGTTCGAGAGGTGGTAATGGCGTTCGTGGGACATTTTACGTTTCGGGCTATATATATTCGACTGGCACAGCGAGATAGACTACTGCTTATTACCATTGCATTAATACCCTCGACATATTCTGCCAATTTATCAACTTTCCTTGTGAGACAAAAAGTAAACACGCATCTCCCACATGCCCTAATTCCAAATTTTCTACTCCAAGCCCCATACAGACATACATACATACACATACTACATATGTAACTACACAATCTCTCACCATCACAAAACAAAGACAAAAACAAAAGAGAAAAAGAAATTGCCTCCACACGGGATCGAACCGTGGACCTCATCATTACTAGTGATGCGCTCTACCACTGAGCTATAAAGGCGCTTTGATTGAAAGGTGGCCCCATATTTGACTCCATCAACGGCCGCTTAACAAGCCCACGCACAGACCACATCCCGAGCTTTCTCCTCCGCCCGGCAAAAAAAGTGACCGCCGACGCAAAGAAAAAAAAGTCCAATTGCACCCAACCCAATCCCCCTCACAGGTTATACATACTATATTCTAACGCACCTCAGACGACCCGACAGTCAAGATGAGGGCCAAGCGATCCAAGAAGTACCGCAAGCTCATGCACCAGTATGAGCTTACGTTTGGGTTCCGTGAGCCGTATCAGGTTCTGGGTATGCAGACATCCATTCAACCAATCACTCATACTATCATGTCCAGGATAAGGGTATACTAACTAATATATGTGACAGTTGACTCTAATTTCCTCCGCGCCGTCCACTCCTTCAAAATGGACTTGATCCCCGCTCTGGAGCGCACGCTTCAAGGCAAACCCAAGCCTCGTATGTTGCCCCGGATAACAACTTTTAACTGCAATCAGTACAGTATACTAACAAATTGGATCAGTCCTCACAAAATGCTCCCTCGCCGCAATCATGGCCTCCCAACCCATCAACCCCAGGACCAACAACCCCTACCGACCCGACCACCTCCCCCCACCCACCACCCTTCCTCTCCGCCACTGCTCCCACAACGCCGACTCGACCCCCATCGACGAAGTCGAGTGCCTGCTCTCTCTCCTCTCCCCCTCCGCCGAGAGCAAAAAGAACAAGGAACATTACATCCTCGCGACGGCGGACCCGCACAACGCCAAGGACAAGTCCGCGACGGATAACACAGCCGCCGGACGGAAACGGAAGCGTGACGCAGAGGACAAGGCTGAGGCGGCGTTGCGGAAGTCGAGGTTGCTACGGCGCCAGGCTCGGTCGATTCCAGGTGTGCCGATTGTCTATGTGAAGAGGTCGGTGATGGTGTTGGAGCCGATGAGTGATCCTTCGGATGCGATCAGAGAGGGTGTGGAGAAGGGCAAGTTTAGGGTTGGGTTGAATGATGAAGCGAGGAAGCCGACGACGGCTGGGGACGGGGAGAAGACGAAGAAGAAGAGGGATTTGAAGAAGCCCAAGGGACCGAATCCGCTGAGTGTGAAGAAGCCGAAGAAGAGGGCACCGGAAGATACTCCCGGGAAGGCGGAGAAGCCGAAGAGAGAGGCTGAGGAGAGACCTGCTGCGGAGGAGCGGGATGGAGAGGATGGGGATACTGCGCCGAAGGCAAAGCGCAGACGCCGTCATCATAATCGCGGTGCTGGGAAGACGGATGGTGATGAGGGTGGTGCGCAGGAGGCTGCCGCGCCGGCCGATGCCATGGATGATTGATTGTTTTGCTAGGGGCTACTTTTCTTTTGATTTGACTTCCATGGTACGGCGTTCGGCGGACGAGATAAAAAAGTGTCCATATGTATTGTGTATAGGTAGTTATCATCGATATTGATAGACGATTCCAACATCTAACATACCCATCCCAACACAACACAACACAGCCCAAACTAGCATAAACATACACCGTCAAAGAAGCAGCATAAGAAGAGAGAGATATGATATAGTATAATAATCCCGAACGCCAATCAATGTAAGTAACCCACATGCACCCAGCCCATCAGACACATACATCAATCATATCATACACCCCCCACCGCCACCAAGCACAACCACAAATACATACACCCATTTATTTCTCCGCCGCACTTGAACCCGAAGAAGTCGAAGCAGAAGAAGCCAACGAAGAAATCGACCCCGTCTCTGCAAGCGCCTTCTCCTCAGCCCAAATACGCTCAATCTTCTTGCGCTTCTCCTTCGCCTCATCCCGGTTGCGCTTAGCGCGCGCATACCGCTCCGCCGCTAGACATTTGTTCACGTCGCGCTTGACATCGTTGCATCCACCCAGAGCTTTGTGAATGAAGCCTCGTGCGTGGCATTCGTCGAGGGCGGTCATGATTTCTTCGCAGTCTGTTGAGGGAGAAAGTTAGTTGAGTGCTTGGTATGGTATGATGTGATATGATGTTGGGGGGTGGAGAGATGGGAGGGGGAGTGACGTACTTGCGTTGTAGGGGGTGTGGAGATGGGAATGCATTGTGACTGTCTTTTAATAGTATATTATGCTAGGTGGGATAGTATGAAGATGTCAATTGACGTTGTATATACACCAAGTTCAACTGCACTGATGATCCGCATATGGAATGGAAGGATTTCTTCCGTAAAAGCCGGGCGGTGAAGACTTATCGGGTATTATTCTGCCGGGCGGGGGAAAAGGAAGAAAAAATTATTCTTTTTTCTTAACCTCTTTGATTAGTTCAACTAATTGCTTGTCAACGGTGTTTCTGTTGGCATTCTTTTGTTTGGACTTTCGAGGAATTGTGGTTTCCTCTTTTGTATCTTTATTGGTTCGAGTTCGCTGTGTAGGTTGATCAATCGCCTGCGGCAGGATCTTCGATCTATCTCTTTTCTTTCTTTCTCTTTTTGACTATCTGATTTACGATTGATTGCTCTCACGATGTCTATGATTACCACTTCCGCTTGGGTGCGGCGCGGAGTTGCTGCCCAGTTCCCTACGAAGTATGAGATCAATGAGGAGGAAATGGATCGCATATCGAAGCTTGCGCGTATGCAGCTTGAAGAGGCGCAGGGTGATTTGAAGGCTGCGCAGGAGGATGAGGAGATGGAGGAGGATAAGAAGGAGGGTGCGGATGATGCTATGGAGGATGATTCCAAGGAAGAGGAGGAGGAGAAGAAGAAGGAGGGTGCTGCAGAGTGAGTTGTCCCGTTGTATACCATTGGGTTCGGTTCGTGTTGGGCAATAGGGACGAATGCTAACATATTTGATGATGAAAGTGACGACGACGACCTGAAGGAATACGATCTGGATCACTACGATAGCGACGAGGTCGACGAGGACGGCGAGAAGATCACCATGTTCGGCAATGTCAAGTCGCTCGCTTATCACCAGCCCAACGAGGAGGACCCGTACCTGGTTATGCCGCCGGAGGAGGAAGACGAGGAGAGAGAGGAACTGCAGATTATGCCGACGGATAACCTGCTGTTGGCGGGTAAGGTTGAGGACGAGGTTGCTCACCTGGAAGTCTACGTCTACGAGGATGCCGCCGACAACCTTTACGTGCACCACGATATCATGCTGCCCGCTATTCCGTTGGCGCTGGAGTGGTTGGACATCCCCGTTGGCAAGACGGCCGAGGGCCGCACTACCGGTAACTTCGTGGCTATCGGAACAATGGAACCCGACATTGAGATCTGGGACCTCGATGTCGTCGACAGCATGTACCCCAACGCGATCCTGGGCCAGGGTGGTGCCGATGCCGAGAACGGCGCGAAGAAGTCCAAGAAGAAGAAGGCCAAGGCCAACGACGAATATCACATCGACTCGATCCTCGCTCTGGCCGCGAACCGCCAGCACCGCAACCTCCTGGCCTCTGGATCTGCCGACCGCACCGTCAAGCTCTGGGATCTCCAGACCACCAAGTGCGCCAAGTCGTACTCCCACCACACCGACAAGGTGTGCGCGCTGGAGTGGCACCCGACCGAATCGACCGTCCTGCTGAGCGGTAGCTACGACCGCACGGTGGTGGCGGCGGACATGAGAGCCCCCGACTCCAAGGCGCGCTGGGGCGTGGATGCGGATGTCGAGAACGTGCGCTGGGACGTGCACGACCCGAACTACTTCTACGTGACGACGGACGCCGGTATGGTGTACCGCTACGATGTGCGGAACATTCCCGCCTCGCCCAAGGAGTCCAAGCCCGTGTGGACGCTGCAGGCGCACGACTCGTCGGTGTCGTCGTTCGACGTCAACCCCACCGTGCCGGGCTACCTGGTGACCGGGTCAACGGACAAGTCCGTGAAGCTCTGGAACATTGAGAACGACAAGCCCAGCATGGTGGTGTCTCGCAAGATGGAAGTGGGCAAGATCTTCTCGACCACTTTCGCGCCGGATGCTGATGTGAGCTTCCGCCTGGCTGTGGCGGGCAGCAAGGGCGTGGTCCAGATCTGGGATACCTCCACTAACGCGGCGGTGCGTCGGGCGTTCGTCTCGCGGGTGCCTACCCTGGAGGGCGAGGTGCAGGAACGTCTGGTCGGTATTCAGCCCGACCAGGATGAGTCGGATGAGGAGGAAGGCGTGCAGGAGGTTGGAGCGGCGCAAGGTGCGGATGGCTGGGAATCGATGGATGAGGATTGAGTAGATGCAAAGCAAAGAAAAGAAAGGAAGCCTAAAAATGGACGCCTTCAGGTTGGATGACTGCAACAAAAACAAGATAAAAAAGAAAGAATGGATCTACGGAGTTCTACTTATAGATAGATAGTTTGAGTGTGACCCTTTTTGCAATGAAAACGTTGTGATACCCCATACCATTCACCTGACTAGTTAAGTTATTTTGTAGTTGAGTTGACGAGAACGGAAGAGAGTCGATGAATAAGCCGATTCATAAAGATGGGAAGCGATGAAATGATGAATTGATCGACCGGCAGAATACCCAAACCAGATATCGTCTGATACGGTCTCGATCACCAATCACATGCCTGCGATGAGGCGAGTGGACGGGTCCGGTGATTGCATTTTATTAGGTTATCTCGTCTGCAAGGCCGAAAGTAGATGAAGAGGTGGTAAGTAGATGAGGATGGTCGAGGTGAAGAATTCTAATCTGCATAGCACATGCGTTGATGAATGGGTAGTCGCTGTGGAAACTTCATCCGAGGAGTGGTACTTTGTGATTGACCATGGTGTAATGAGATCGGAGGGTCTACTGGTTATTGGCGTGCGGTAAGGTGCTTACCTACTATTAATCAATTAGATACTAGTTAGATTACTCTGTAGTAGTAGTAGGTCGTATCTATTTAATTTTAACCTCTCAACCTACACCAAAAATAAAATCAATAGAAACCCATCGCACAGCATTCGCAGAAAGTATACTCCTGGCAAAAGGACATCAAAGCGAAAAGCACAGGTCAAGTGTATAAGCGGGTGAAAACCACCGCCCAGTTTATTAAGTTGACCCACTGGTGGGGAAACAAACGAAAAAGAAAAACGAGAGGCACTCGGTGGTTTGACCCGCCCGGCATCTCCGTGTGGTCTTAGTTTTTAGTTTAGTGTGGTGGTACGTACAACTCCATTGTTCAGAAAGAACCCTCATGGAACGGATTGCGGATTCTATCCGACCGACGCGGTACCTACATTAGAGGTCAAGTATGTAGGAGATTAAGCCTGTCTGTCTAGGACGGACGTGATGTATGTAGGAGAACCACTCACACACTTCCCCCTTCCTTTCGACGTCATGTCCAGCTTGTTGGTTGCATGAATCCTCCCCCCCCCTTCAGCTGAGACGGCAGATTGTTTCAATTCCCCACCGCTCAGGGCACATGGCGGTTTCCAATGGCCAGCCGCGATGCCGTTCCTGGCGTTAAGCCGACACCACTTGGCCTCACTTGGTGTAGCCTCGGTGGTGCTGCCGTTTGACGACGCTCACTTGGGTTTAGTCTGTGTATCATTTTGCTATCGTTTTTGAGTTCGGTCGGCTTTTAATCTAGACTAGACTTTCTTACGGAGTATACTATCTATCCTATCAAGGGTTCCCTCTCTCTCTCTCCAAGGTACGCAAATATGTAGGAGGGAGGGAGAAAGGCAGGAAGGACTAAGGGACTATCTCCTGAATTCATCACGCCAAATACGCGCCGAGTGAAGCTTTGGGTTGGTCCCTGAATTTCCTTTATTGGGTTTTCTTGTAGCCACCCGACAAAAGCAAATGACCGGGGGAGATGGTCAAGGCTGTCCGTCCGACCACCAAATCGCATCGCACGACTAGCCGCGCCTGACTGTCCGTCGGAGGACCGGAGAAAAATAATAGATGTTAGGAGGGGGGGGAGGAATCAGTAGGACTCCGTAGTTACGTTGTTATTATTATGCTGGCTACTTCGCTTGTTCTTTGCTGCGTAGCCCCATAGAATGCGTATCCATGGTTGACTTCTGGCGAACAGGTGGTTCTCGACCATCGCCCGCATCATTACAAGGCGCCAGGCGAACCGTTGGAGAAAATACCGAAGGCAAAGTTTTTTCCACATCCATAACTCTATCCCACTCTTCCAGTTGGTCGGCTAAAGACCCTGGCGAACGAGTCGCGACTCAGGATCTGATCCAAGGGTGACTGACTGGGTCGCTGAGAAAAGAGAGACGTCAAATCAGGGCTTGCTATTAGCCCTTTTCTGCGTGCTTAATTTGATCATCTTGAATTTTAGTACCCACTCAGAGGACTTGAAAGAGAGAAGAGGAGGAAGTCCGAGAAAAAGAGTAGCAGCGAAGTAGAGGAAAAAGAGGGGGGTAAAGACAAGGCCCAGAATCACGGCGGGAGGTGGTTCCATCCACTTCATCCATCATTTCATCCACTCAACTCGCCTCTCTTCCCTTTTCCCTCGTTTCCCCCTCTTCCCTTTTCTTTCCTTTCCCTTTTCTCTCTCCTCTCCTCTTCTTTCCTTCTACTTTACTTTCCCTTTCCCCATTCCTCCCTGGGGGACTCCGATTTATTTCCTGCACCATTCCTTTTTGATCCTTTTTTCATTCTTCCAGCCCCAGATCTGTGTATCCTGGATTCTTTCCTTCATACTTTTATTCTTTCCCACCCTTTATTTACTCTATTCACATATCGCCCGTGGCGCGTCCTGGTTGTCCGCCCTGATCTTCCCTGTACCATTATCGGTGGTGCTACCGTGCTGCTGCAGTATCTCTTCGCCCCCTTGAGTCTAGCAGCCCACCTTCCATTTCCCGAGCACCACCACTCATTCCACCCGTCTTATTTATTATTTTTCTCTGCTGTGCAAGGGAAAAGCAAAAAACAGAAATAAAGAACGAAGAGAAAGAAGTACTAGAGGAAGTTCTGCCTTCATTCAGACACGGCTTCCTTTTCCGCTGCGACAACTTGGTTCTCGTTTGACAGCTCATCCACTGTATCTGATAACGGACATTCCGGTGATCGATCTTCCATTCCTTCTCTACTCCACCCCGCGATCGGCCATCAGCATTCTTTCCTTATACCGCCAAAGGCGTCAGTCTCTCGAGAACGAGGAGACGGTTACGGAAAACCCTAAAATAGCAAAAAAAGCAATATCGCTTGTACAACTATCGACCTTTCCCGGCCAGCTGCATATCTGCCATTATATCTGAGCCCGACCGCCTAGTCTGCACCTTCCAGCATTTATTGTCAGTTGCGTTCTTGACTACACCTTAATTTCCCGACTATCGTCATCATGGCTTTGGCTAGAGCTTTCACCAAGCGCAGCAAGCGCCCCGAGGTCTCGGCCCCGATGCCATACCGTGAATCACATAAACACGCTGGTCCGATCAATCGAGACAAGATCTCGGCTCCCGTGGAGTTGTTGTCGACGACGAACATGCTGGCTTACAATGCGCCCGACATCCATTCGGCGACTTCGTCTTCTACCTCTTCATTGCAGTCGCCCGACGATTCGGAAATGTCTTTCACGCAGCGCAGTTTTGGATCGCCTCTGACTACCCCCGATGAGTCGCCAATTGAGCCAAACCCGCTGCCTTCCTATTTCCCGAAGCGATCTGCAACCGTGACGAGCCACCCTCGCTCCTCGACATCGACCAACTCCTCTACGGATGCGCCGCTGGTTCCCAAACGGGCGCTCTCCCACACAAAGCGGACCCACCAAGAGCTTGCTCGCCAGCGTTCCTTGTCCCGGCTATCTCCACCTCCGTTGAACTCGTTGCGCAATGCATCTGCTGCACGTCAGACACAGGATAGCTACAAGGCCGAGCCCCATCCCTTCAGCAAGGAACTTGAGCAAGTGAACGAGGTGGTCGAGGAGTTCGGTGGCACCCGTATACTTGACGACGAGGAGTTGATCCTACGAGATAAGGGATTGATGAAGTTCACCGCAGATGACTACCTCGTGGAGGTCGAGGCCCTTTATGGCAGCGTCTTTGATGATTATCTTGGCCCGATAGGTACGGGGGCCTGGCTCTGAATCGTGACCCCGTTCGCTGTTTTACTTTCTCTACCATCTTTTCCTTACTTTTTTTGACTCCCGAGGGATTCCGCCTGGAGGGCTCTGGATAGGAACTGGATATTTCCTTCCCTCGCCAGGATTGACTTGTGCCATGACCCACTCATATTCACTCTTTAATGTCTTGTGATCTAATTACTCGGTTTCATCTTCATTTTGAATTAGCTAGATACCACTGGGAGGAGCTTGATCTATCACCCCCAACATTGCTTTTTTTATTTTTTGTTTCATTTATTGGTTGCAAGTTGGTGCTTCCATGTTGCGTGGATCGAATTATTCGCTCTGCTGACTGGCTATGTGACGGACTCTGACATGTCTAACGAGGTTCTCGGATCTGAATTCTTCTTCCTTAGCGTCGTTTTGAATGCGAAAGACACTGCCAGGGTTGCTTTTTCTATTGGATTAGTCTTGTAACAATGTCACGATACATCAGAAAGTTCTGCATCTCATGCATGTGCATACGTCTGCGTACAGTATCTCTTGTTCTTGATCCACCTGGTGGACATTGAAGAATTGTATAACCCGATCGGGTAAGGCTGTTGCGCGCTGGTCACGCGCTGGTCACGAGCTGGCAGCCTGAGGCTCCACAGCCGCCCCACACCCAAAAAATTTCACGTCGAGTTTCTGCTTCTCCGCTTCGTCTGCTTTCTTCCTAGTTCTTACTCCAGACGGGCTCCCCTCCAACTGCTGGTCTGTCTCCCTCTCACACACTCGTGCATCGCAGCGTTCTCAGGGTGCGTGTGTTGGACAGTCCGATGAAGGTATCTCTCGCCTTCCTTACTCCCAAGCGCGCTTGTTATCTGTAGCAACAGCAGGTGGATCATCTCTCGACTCGCAACTGGTCGGGTCGTGTGCTCTGCTTCCAAGATCTGTTTTCATCTCTTAATATCCCACCACTCCTCGCGTGTGATACTGTGAGAGTGCGACTCATGATTGGATCTGGGGTCCTGTTTCAAGCACTCCCCAGCCATTTCATTATTATAGAACCGTCGATCCTGGCATGGTCGTCCTTGCCACCGCCTCCCGCACCGCAACGATCGCACCCAGGCCGACGACTAATCCATCCAAGATGCTAGTTACATCATCACCTGTGTCCATTCTAAAAACGCCTAAGAGCACCCCATCCACGACTGGGATTAAGCACAGGATGATGATGGGAGACGACTACAGCGATCTCTCCCTGTCCCCGTCGTCCTCGTCCGACGCGGAACACAGCCCGAGTCCCCGGAAGCGGACGCGAGTGAAGTTTGATAAGGAGGTGTTCATGGTACCATATAAAGAGGAACCTGAGCCGGAACGGAAACCAGAGAAGAGCGCAGCCGTCGTCCGCGAGGAGGTGCGCAGGGCCATCCAACGGCATGTCTCTGGCACCGACAGCGAGGCGTACGACCGCATCAAGGAGACTTTTGCGGTGGACCCGCGGCGCCGGGATGAGGACAACATGTTTGCCTACGATGTACCTACACATACGTCCTTGAGACATCATCTCCTGGGTCTTTTGTCAAATGTTGCGTCCTTGGATCGCACTTGCAACGGACTGGTCCAAGCTGTGCTGAATAGCGTATGGCTGGGCCGGGACGAGTCGTACATCAAGTTGTATATACGTTTTCTAGGTAACCTTGCCGCTGCCCAGGGCAGCTATCTGGGGGCTGTGCTCAAAATGCTGGTCAACTATCTGGGAGAGCTTCCCAAGGACACGGGGAAGATCCCGGGTTACCCGTCTGTTCATGTGCCAGTGCTCTACTCCCGCGTGCACTTGGCTTTGCGCCATGTCATGCAGTTGATCCCGTCTGGTAGTGGAACGCTGTCGCCTCTTTTGTCTGCACAGTTTCCTTTTGCTTCCGATTCGGCCAAGGCCAACATTGCGTATACGCGGAACCTCATCCGGGTGATCAGCTATGCTCCGGAGCTTCAGGGTGATATTCTTTCTCTGATTACGGAAAAGCTAGTCAAGATTGACGTCCACATCCAAGTGGACCTGGAGGACATCGAGGATGAAGTCGGTGAGGATGTCCTGCAGGGAGTCTCTCCGGAATCAGTCATGATCGAGGAAGATGATGCGGAAGACGACGATGACAACGACTCCGTTCTTAGCGATGATTCGGTAGACGATGAATCCAAGCGGATTAAGGCCATTCGGGACAACATCCTCAAGCTGGATGGCATGATTGACACCATGTTCGAATATTATGCCCCTCCGTTCACGCTGGGCTCCCTGGACGACAAGGAAAATGCCTTCGATCTTCTGATGAGCCATTTCCAGAACATTATTCTCCCCACGTACCGCTCGCGCCACTCTCAATTCCTCCTCTTCCACTTCTCTCAGTCATCCCCAATTCTTGTGGACCGCTTCGCCGCGATGTGCACCGAGCTTATCTTTAACAAGACGCAGCCAGCCATTATGCGCCAATCAGCTGCTGCTTACCTCGCCAGCTTCGTTGCTCGCGGGGCTCATATTTCTGGCGAGGTTGTCCGGGATGTGTTCGATCTGTTGGGCACGTATCTGAACAGTCTACGTCTGGATTATGAAGCCACTTGCCGGGGCCCCGACCTCCGCCGCTATGGCCCCTTCTACTCGACGGCTCAGGCCCTGCTCTACATCTTCTGCTTCCGCTGGCGAGACCTGACCACCGCTGCGCTGGAAGGCGACACTCCGGACCAAGTGGACGAGCTTGAGCCAGAAGACATCATGTTCCCGCCGTCAGTCAAGGAAGTGCTGCACCAAGCCATCCATTCCAAGCTGAACCCGCTGAAGGTGTGCTCGCCCGCGATCGTGTCCCAGTTCGCGCGGATGTCGCAGCACTTCAACTTGATGTACGTGTTCAGCATCCTCGAAACAAACAAGCGACTACGCGTATCCTCATACCGCAGCATCGGCGCCATGGCCGATCCTCGCTTCAGCCAAGTCGAGCGGGAGATCCGCGCCGGCGACGACCTCGGCTACCAACTAGACGCCTACTTCCCCTTTGACCCCTACCAGCTCCCGCGCAGCCGACGCTGGGTGGAAAACGACTATGTCCACTGGCGCGGCATCCCAGGTCTAGACGAAGACGACGACTCGGACAGCGAAGCGGACGACAACGAGTCGGACGAAGACCTCAGCGATGGGACCGAAACGGATGACGAATTGTGATGCGTCCAAGACCTTCAAAAGAACAACTCAAAAGTGCTTCTCTGTTTCTCTCTCTCTCTCTCTCTCTCTCTCTCTCTCTCTGTCTCTCGTTCTATTGGCGAGCACAATACCCCCAATCTGTTTGCGATTATGCCATCTCAGCAGGTTTATGTTCCTCTGAAAAAGAAGAAAAGTTTTTTGTGAGATCTATGTTTGTTGTTTTATGGGTGGGAATTTAGCGTGGCGTATGGTGATTGATTTGATTTGATTTGATTGATTTATACACGCATGGGTGCATGTAGTATGCCTACACATCGCATATGCCTGCTTGTTACCTGCCTACATCCGTTACCAGTTCTGCCACATTGAGACTGGTACCATGTTGGTATTTATAATGATGGACGATGGATGATGATGGACAGATGGATGGATGTACGATGACATCTGCGGGGTAGAAGAGAATGAACAAATAACAAAATTACAACGTTCATATTCCTGAAGTGCACGTAGTAGATATCAAAGATCAGGAATACTTACTAATCGCTGTTACGACCTATCCGGTATCATTAGTTCAAGTATCTACTACTACTTAAGCAGCATCAACATCAATATTCGACGCATATGAATCAGATAGAGGTCAATTTCCCCCCCTCTTTCCTGTCTCACCTTACTTTACCCACTTCGTTATTTCAACTAGTTCGCTGGTGATCATGGAAAGGAGGGGCAGGCTTTGCTATTTCTACATATGAGATTGAGCGAGTGGGTTGGTCTGGTACCGGGGGTAATTTGTTTTAAAATATGGTACCGTAGGAAGAGTACTACTATTGGTAGAAAAAGTTCAGTTGGAAAGATCGTTGGTTGATACCCCGCCAATTGTTTTTCTTGGAAAGATGATGCAAGTTAAATCGCTCATGCATGAGGTACCTCGGTAGTAATCAATGATCGTCGTCTAGTGTACATGTAGATGTGTGCGTGTGTAGTAAGGATGATGTAACGATTCTAATGATGGACGAAAACCCAAAGTAACGCTAATGGCTCCAAGGAGTAATAATAACAGGATGTATAAGAAAAGAGGGCTAGTTTATACAAACCGGAGAATTGAAGGGAAAAAAAGAAAATCGCAATGAGTTATGTAGTACCGCCCATCCTTTTGGGGGAATGGGTCTACGCACCAAAGATATGCTTCATATCAGCACAGGCATCGCGGTAGAGAATATCAACTGAATCTTGATCGCGGAAGGGATTGGGCGATTTATCCCACGCATGGGGCGCCTTTTCGATCATCATGGCGCGGACATGTTTGTTGATATTCTGCAGACGCCGCACAAACACCTGGCCCTCCTTGAGAAGCATATCCCATTCGCAGATAAAGAAGAAGATATCGTGCGGCAGGGCATCGGCGAGGATCTCATCCGTGGCGTGTACGGGCGACGCAAAGGGCGAGATCCGCTCCTCGTGCGTAGGCAGGTAGGATTCATCGAAGAGATCGGTGAAGAAGGCTGGGAGGGTCTTACTGGGCATGAGGCTCATGGCGCGACGATGGTCACGCGACTCCTCAAAGTCGAGGATTGGGTACCAGCAAAAGAGGGCGACGATGTTGAGTTCGCTGGTGGAGGCGGCGGATACTAGTTGCTGGGTGGAGTCGTAGGGGCCCGTATTAGGTGGACTGCTGTGAGGTTCGAGGGCGTCTTGTTGGTCCTGTTGTTGCTGTTGCTGGTGCTGGTGCTGCTGTTGTTGTTGCTCATTGAGAATACTGCGCAGGCGGAGGGGCACGGTGATGGCGAGGTTCCCACCAGCAGAGAAGCCGGAGAGGGCGATGCGCGAAACGTCCAAACCCAACTCGACGGCGTGGGCAGCGAGATACTGCAGGGCGAGAACCCCGTCGTCGACGGCGGCGGGAAACGGATGTTCGGGAGCACGACGGTATCCGACGCTGACCAGCACGGCGCCGACTTCCCCGAGCACACACTGCGCCCAGCGACTGTCATCCGTGGGGCATCCTAGCGTGAAGCCTCCCCCGTGGAAATTGACCACGACGGGCAGACGACGGCCTTCTTTGCGAATGTTGAGATAGTTGGGTGGCGTGTAGAAGCAGAGACGAACCTGACCCGAACCGGTGGGAATGGTGCGAACAAAGGCAGGCCGGGGAGGTCGCGGAGGAGTGACATCGTGCAGGAACATGCCAATGCGCATTAGAAAGCGCCAGACAACGGCTTGGACATAGAGCCACCAGCGGGAAGACGGCATGATGGAATGGCCATACAGCGGAGGGAGGAGTTTCAAAGAGGTAAGTAAGTGGTAACTAGTAGTGAAAAGAAGGTTACGAGAGATCCGAGGCAGGAACAGACGGAGGAAGGAGAGGGAGAGTGTGAGAGAGAGTCTCCAAAGAGTAACTCTGGGAGAGAGCGCCCGGAAGGTCGGAGGCAAACCAGACCAGACCTTCCGTTCCAGTAGAATAGTAATCAGTTGATTGGAATGAAAGGCGATTAATTTACGTTTGAGGGAGGTTTAAGGGCCGCCTGATCCACGGAAAGCAGCTGCCGAGGAAGACGAGATCCAAAGCACAGCACAGCCAAGCCAAGCCGGAGGAGGAACAGAGATGATCGGTTTAGAAATGACACAGAAAGGTAGTCATGCAGTTCATGCAGGAAGTAGTAGACAAAACGTAAAGAATTGGGAATGAGGAACGGCTCTAGTAGTTGGCAAAAAGAGGTCTTGGACCACATCATCGGTCCTTCATTCCTCTGCTGGACCCTGTTTTCCACTGCTGGAATTCCCATTCGATGTGATGGAGACTCTTGATATCCCGGCTTTTGCATCATCACAGGCATGACATCACTTGCCTCGGGATCGACCCGCCAGCCTTTATTTGCGCCCTCGTATTTCTCACTTTTGATTTGCAACGCTTTTTGCTACTAGTTCTATTACTTCTCTCACGTTCTGGCCGACTCTTGGGTTTGTAAGGCCCTGCTAAGCTCTCCTCCTAACCTTAATTGTCTTGGAAAACCCTGTGCCCAACTCATCCATCCTTACTACTTATAAGCGCTGACGGTACCCCCCCTCCCATTGTCCTCTCCTCTCTTCTCTCTCCCGTCATTGACGGTGATTCTTCCTCACCTTTTCTCTCTGGAATATCCTCCCCTATACCCCTTCAATCCTATCATCACATGGGAGGTGTTGACTCCCATCCTCCCGCCCCCATCATGTCTATCAAACGTGCGCTGTCCAAAATCAAACCCACCAAGTCGTCTCCCGACGATGAGTCCGCTCACAGCACCCCCGCCTCGGCTACTTCCATGTCTCCCCGTCGCAGCATCCTCAGCAACTTCCTGCGCGATCGCGACTATGCCTCTTCCTCCGATGACGGCTCAGATGACTCTTCGTCGCCAGGCAGCATCAGTAAAAACCAGCAAAAACGCCTGGCACGTAAACAGCGCAAAGAGAAGTCCCGTCTGAGCGAGGAGCGTCATTCCGACGAGTCTGATTCGCGTCGGAAGGAGGAAGTCGCCAATGCCACCCGCGAGGAGACTTCGGAGATGAAGGCTCGCTACGGCGAATTGCCGCTGCTACAGTCTCGGACACGCCCTCGTGAGGTCCGTACCAACCTAGATGCCATTTCCGAATCCTTGGTGGGCCAGCAGATCTGTTTTACAGCCCGTCTACATATCATCCGTCGCATGAGTGCCAAGCTAGTCTTCCTAGTGTTCCGCCAGCAGCTGCTCACCTTCCAGGGTGTTCTGCATGAGGAGGCAGGTGTCAAGTCCATCGCTATGATTCACTGGGCTGAGCATCTGCGGTTGGGTTCCATTGTCCGCGTGCGGGGCATCGTCCAGAAGCCTCAGGTGCCGATCTTGGGCTGTACCATCCATGACGTCGAGATCTCCATCGACGAGCTTCATCAGGTCGTGCGTCGTGAGGAACCCGTCCCCTTTAGTATCTATGAGGCAGAGATTCAGACCGCCGAGGAGGAGCGCATCGAAGGTCGTCGCAGTCACATCCCCGATCGCGTTCGTCTCACCAATCGTCTACTCGACTTGCGCACCCCGACCTCTCAGTCTATCTTCCGCATTCAATCCGCCATCTGCAACCTCTTCCGATTTGCCCTCGATGAGCAGGGCTTCATGGAGATCCATACACCCAAGCTGCAAGGCTCTGCCACCGAGTCGGGCGCCAGTGTCTTCCACGTGCAGTACTTCGGGCGAGATGCTTTCCTGGCGCAGAGTCCACAATTGGCCAAGCAGATGGCTATTGCCGCTGATTTCGGTCGTGTCTATGAGATTGGAGCGGTGTTTCGAGCGGAGAACTCTAATACCCACCGCCACCTGACTGAGTACACCGGGTTGGATATCGAGATGGCCATTGAAGAGCACTACCATGAGATGTTGGACGTGCTGGACGCGGTTATCAAGTCCATCCTTCAAGGGGTGTATGGCCGCTACCGCCGCGAGGTGGAGACCGTGAAGCACCAGTTCCCGTCAGAAGATGTTGTGTGGCTGGAGAAGACCCCCATTCTGCGCTTCGCGGACGGTATCAAGATGCTGAATGACTCCGGCTGGCGCGACGAGGACGGCAACCCGCTGCCAGAGGATGAGGACCTCCACACCCGCGATGAGATTCGTCTGGGTGAGTTGGTCAAGGAGAAGTATGGCACCGACTACTACATCCTGGACAAGTTCCCCGCCAGCGCACGCCCCTTCTATACCATGCCCGACCCCGACGATGACCGATACACCAACTCGTTCGACATCTTCGTTCGCGGCCAGGAGATCGTCTCCGGTGGCCAGCGTATCCACGACCCCCACATGCTGGAGGAGAACATGCGTCGCTCTGGCATCGACCCCGATACCATGGAAGACTACATGGAGGGCTTCCGCTGGGGTGCGCCACCCCACGCTGGAGCGGGTGTTGGTCTGGAGCGTCTGCTGATGCTGCTTCTGAAACTGGGCAATATTCGCCTAGCATCCCTCTTCCCTCGCGACCCCCGCAGTTTCCCGGCCAAGCCAGTGACGGCACAGCTGCGGCACCCGGAGTCATCGACTATTGATCCTCCGTGGGCGCGCGACAGGAGGGGTGCCATCGCACAGGATACGAGTCAGCTGCAGCCGCTCGAGCATCTCATTGCCAATTACGGCGATGCCACCTCCACCTCCTGGGGCGATGAGCGCTTCAAGATCTGGCGCGACATGGGCACTGGTGCCGCCATCTCCTACGTGCCCAGCAGCAGCAACTACGTGATCATTCCGGGCAACCCCTTGTGCGATCCCAAGCAGTACCGCCAAGTGATCACACAGTTCCTGCAGTGGCTGCGGCGCGAGACCAAGTACAAGCCAGTCTGGCTGCTCTGTTCCGCCGAAGTCGAGACCATCCTGGGCGAGCGAATGGGCTGGCGAACGCTGTCCTGCATCGCCGAGGAGCGTGTGAACCCAGCCCGCAACATGGCAGCCTCGGACGGCGAAATCGCCCGCAAGATCCGACACGCCGAAAGTGAGGGCGTCAAGCTCGTGACCGTGACCAAAGGCGAGATGGTCTCCGACGAGATCCGCCAGAAGATTGACCAGCGCATCCAGGACTGGCTCAACAACCGCAAGGGCACACAAGTGCACCTGTCCGAGATCCGCCCTTGGCGCGATCCCGAGCACCGCTGGTACTTCTACGCCGTCGACAAGGAGGGCACCATCTGCGCCTTCGTCGCCCTAGCCACGCTCGCCCCCGTCCACGGCATGCAGATCAAATACAGCTTCGACTTCCCGGGTTCCCCCAACGGCGTCATCGAACACATTGTCACCCACGCCATCCAAACGGCCGCTGCAGCCGGTGTCAAATCCTTCACCTTCGGCGCTGGTGCCATGTCCTCGCTGACCCCCGGCCATAACCTCCGCGGTGCCCGCATCAAGATGCTCCAGCACACCTATGACACCATGGCTAAGCAGTTCCATCTGGTGCGCAAGAGTGAGTTCCGGGCCAAGCTTGGCGCCGAGGACGACCCGCTCTTTATTGCTTATCCGCCGCATGGCCTGGGCAGTAAGGGCATGCGTGCGGTGCTGCATTTCTTTGAAGATTAATCAATCTATCAAGCCCAATATTCATCTTCCCCACTCTATCTATCTAATAATGTCTGGAAATGTGATCATGGCTTATTTGTTACAAAGATCTAATTACAGGTAGATCAATATGGCTTCTATGTGTTTTGCTTTCGTCAAGTTTGTGCTTTTGTTACTTGGGATGGAGGTTCGCATTAGATATTCCCCCTATTGTTTTGTTGCCTGGGTCGTGGAGCGACGATTGTGACGGATTGATTCTGGGGCTCTTTTTGTTCTGTTTACTCTCGTTTTTGGATGTGCTTTCATACAAAGACGGTAAGATAGACGCAGCGCCTGTGTAATGAAGCCATGTTGTATGTATGTATGCGTGGATGTGTCTTGATGAAGAAATTGTGTCATTATAACTCATTAATAAAATTGAGTACAATAGTAATATTCAAAGAGTAATAGTACAAGTGACCATCATGGTAGTAGCATACCCAATATGCAAATATCATCCACAGTAACCATGCATGCATGTATGTACCTGTTGAGAACACAATCATAAATCACCGCACCTTCTTCCCCTCTCTCATCCCATCTACTATCGCCCCATCCACATCCTCATCTCCCTCTTCCTTCTCCCTTTCCTCAGCCATATCATCCACCACTCTCCCCAACTCCCCAACCACCCACTTCCCCACCAAAAATGCCACCCCAGCCACTATTACCCCGTAACACGCCGTCGGCACCAACGACCTTGGAAACACATTCCCCAGGAACGGATCCAGAATCACATCCACCGCCACGGGCGGCACATGCGTCATCAGCTCCTTATCCGTGGTGTAATAGTCTGCCGCGGCGCGGATACGTAGAAACAGGACCGAGTCTGTAATGGGTTCGTTGCTGTCGAGGGGAGTTTCGGGATTGAAGTTGGTGGTGGTTGTGTCGTCGAGATTGAGGTCAAACTCGGAGTCTGGAGTGCTGGCGAGGCGTGAGGAGGAGTAGTTTGTTATGGACGATAGGAGGAAGGTATCTGAGAGGGCGTGCGGGAGGGTGTATGTTGTTAGGGTGAAGGATGTTGGTTGCTTTTTTGTTGATTGTATAGTCAGTATATAAGAATGAGGGTAGACGGCATGGATCACGTACAGTTGCTAGCCAACAGATGCGTACTTCATAGCGTCGGCCAGGAGTGAGATTTTGGAGAAAGAACCAGGATTCGGTCCCTGGTGAGGATTGGGTTGGGAAGGATGCGTTGAGGTGTGTGCGGAGGATGGGGTGGGAGGGGGAGAGGCGCGCAAGACCTAGGTCGTCGATTGGGGGATGTGGGGTTGGGATTGTGGTAGGGGGAGGGGCGAGGAAGATGGTCTTTTCGACATTGGCGGCTGCGAGGGTTGTAAGGAGGAGGAGCGCGAGGAGGATGTAAGGGAGGAAGGAGGGGACATGGCGGGGGAGGAGGGGGAGGGTGAGAGGCATTGTTGGTTGGTTATGGTCGATGAGGGGGGGTGTTTCGTGGTGTGTAGGACTGATTTATATGGTCATTGTTGGAGGTAGAGTGGGATAAAAGCTGGAATGGGTCTGCGATGTTGTGTTAGAGGATTGGATATCGTGTAAGAGGTGTGGGATTGGGACAGGTACTCGAATGAAGCTTGCTGGAGATCTAGATCGGAGCTGGGGTGGAGGATGGAAGATGGTATATTCTTGGTGTTTGTTTTCAGGGATATCCGAGTTTTATATGAGAGTATAAGTTACAGAGCCAGACGGTGCAGGGCAATGATGAGTGATCAATTGAGAGCAGAAAACATGGCAATTGCAATGGTAATGGTGGTAGCAATCCATGGACTGCGATGATCCGGCTGATGTTCGGCGATCTTTCGTCATGCCGTCACTGCTCTACACGTGACCAGATCTTAACCGGAACAGGGTGCTGACTCAGCTGTTGACCGCCAGGTGGGCAGCAGCCAATCAGATGGCTCATAGCCCAACGCGACCCAACGGACGGATCAACCACGGCGGCATCGTTGGGTTGACAGCGCATGAAAGACCACAACAAATCGAGTCGACCGATTCTCGTCCTGCTCCTCCATTGTCACTAACCAAACAGTTCCCCAGGGTTCGTGGCCTCTCCCTCCCTCCCCCCCGTTTTTACTAATTTCCCACCTGTTCCCTTTCCCTCGAATCTCTCTTTCCCTTCCCCTTCATCAATTCACCATCTCCAATTACCCCCTTTCGTGCCCTGTGTTGTGGTGGCTCGTTAGGTTACTAACTTTACCCCTGAAACCCCCGTACAGATCGCCCTTGGGTATTTTAATTTTTCCCTCTGTCCACATTCCACGCCCACTCCGTGTCCCTCCATCAATCCATATCTGAAACTTATCAATTCGACTCGCCAAAATGAGAGAAGTTATTTCTTTGAACGGTGTGTGCCCAATCCCTCCCCTCGCCGCCGCTTGATTTTTCGCGTGGTCACTAATGTTTGTGTTTTCCCCTCACAGTTGGTCAGGCTGGTTGCCAGATTGCCAACTCCTGCTGGGAGGTATGTTTAGACACGGGGGAATCGACCCCTCCTTTCCTGAAACAGTCATCAGAAAATCAAACAACATCGGCATATGCCATATATTATTGGGATAAACAGTGGACTAACGGTGTTGTTTAGCTCTACTGCCTTGAGCACGGTATCCAGGTATGTGAAAACAAACGCCTAGGCACGCCTCTGTCGAGAGTTGCCACTCCACACCGATGAGCAACCCCACTGATCTTTGTTTGTTGATGCCAGGCCGACGGTTACTTGACCGAGGAGCGCAAGAAGGATGACCCCGACCACGGATTCAGCACCTTCTTCTCCGAGACTGGTACGTTCCCATAGCCTTTCCCCCCGTGTATCCCGCTCCTCCGTTTGCCCGCAGCACATCCTAACATGAATTGGGGCTATAGGTCAGGGCAAGTATGTCCCTCGTACCATTTACTGCGATCTGGAACCCAATGTTGTGGATGAGGTCCGCACCGGTACCTACCGCAGTCTTTTCCACCCCGAGAACATGATCACTGGCAAGGAGGATGCCTCGAACAACTATGCCCGTGGTCACTACACCGTTGGCAAGGAGATGATCGACCAGGTTCTCGACAAGGTCCGCCGTGTTGCCGACAACTGCGCTGGTCTCCAGGGTTTCCTGGTCTTCCACTCCTTCGGTGGTGGTACTGGTTCCGGTTTCGGTGCTCTCCTGATGGAGCGTCTGTCCGTTGACTACGGCAAGAAGTCCAAGCTGGAATTCTGCGTTTACCCTGCTCCTCAGAACGCCACCTCCGTTGTTGAGCCCTACAACTCTATCCTCACCACCCACACCACCCTTGAGCACTCCGACTGCAGCTTCATGGTTGACAACGAGGCCATCTACGACATCTGCCGCCGCAACCTCGGCATCGAGCGCCCTAGCTATGAGAACCTCAACCGCCTGATCGCCCAGGTTGTCTCTTCCATCACCGCTTCCCTCCGTTTCGACGGTTCCCTCAACGTCGATCTCAACGAGTTCCAGACCAACCTGGTCCCCTACCCCCGTATTCACTTCCCTCTGGTGGCCTACGCCCCCGTCATCTCCGCGGACAAGGCCTCCCACGAGTCCAACTCCGTCAGCGAGATCACCATGAGCTGCTTTGAGCCCAATAACCAGATGGTCAAGTGTGATCCCCGCAACGGCAAGTACATGGCCACTTGCCTGCTGTACCGTGGTGATGTCGTCCCCAAGGAGACCCACGCTGCCGTGGCCACCCTGAAGACTAAGCGCACCATCCAGTTCGTCGACTGGTGCCCTACTGGTTTCAAGATCGGTATCTGCTACCAGCCTCCCCAGCAGGTCCCCAACGGCGACCTTGCCAACCTCAAGCGCGCTGTGTAAGTTCTTCTCCATCTGATATGCGACGTTTTCAAGACATAAGAAAGCTAACGGAAGGTCAAATGTAGCTGCATGCTGTCCAACACCACCGCCATCTCCGAGGCCTGGTCCGCTCTCGACCACAAGTTCGACCTCATGTACTCCAAGCGTGCTTTCGTCCACTGGTACGTTGGTGAGGGTATGGAGGAGGGTGAATTCTCCGAGGCCCGTGAGGACCTGGCTGCCCTTGAGCGCGACTACGAGGAGGTTGCCAGCGACTCCCTGGAGGAGGAAGTTGAGGCCGAGTACTAGATCTGACCGAATTTTGGACCGGAGTCGCGCGGGGGGTCCGGCCGGGCCGTCCGGGTGGAAGCCGTGGCTCGCCCTGAAGCAATGGGAATTGTTCCGTTGGGGACAGGCGTTGGCCAAGGTTGTATACCCAAATGAGCAGCGGGACTCTGGCTGCATGCAAATAGGAAGGAGAAGCTTGGCTCCGTAGTACAGACTATGTTTTCTTTTTGTCTGAGTATATTTTTCTAATATCCCTGAAGCAGCGATGAAATTTACCCGCTCGTTCGAAACTCATATGCAGGATTTTTTTGGGCGCCTAAGAGAATTGTAATCTACATTTTGCAAGTTTCGAGCGATTTGATGAGTATCCCTGTAGTGGTAAAACAAAAAGGAATTGACGATGAGCGGGGATGAACAGGCTGTTACTAGTACTCCCCCATCGCTTATTTGCATGATGAAGGGGACTGAAATGGGTAGAATAATAGGAGGGTAGATAGCTTCGGCGAAAGTAACTCTGAGACCCTACTTTAAGTTGCGCCACATCCAGGAATGGAGGAGTTGCTTCCGCCGAGGTGCATCCATCAGTCGGATTCGTGCCGACCGGGTGAGCCTCTAGGGAGTAGTAAGTAATCCTCGGACCCTGAAGGGTGGAGAGAGATGGAAAATGAACTGGACTGACGTCGGTGTTGGAGAGGGAGGGAGGGAGTGACTGGCTGACCGCCCGGGGGGGGGGGGGGTTGCATAGCAGTAGTGGTAGTAGTAGGTAATTAATGTAGGAGCTGTCCTGGCTGGCGGCCCCTCTGCGCTGCTCGGCTCGCTCTAGTTGCTCTGGTCGCCAGTTCCTCCCTCCTCCTACTTACTCCTCCCCCTTCTCCCCTAATTTGATTGACTTCGGGATTACTATCCTCTTTTTTATTTTTTTTATCTTTCGTTTCCCCTACCCCCTCTGATCCGCTCTCATTCTTCAGCTGTCGGACCTTCCCATTCTCCCTCTGCTTTGTGGCTTCTGGCAATCCTGCCTTTTCTCAGTTCCCCTCAGAAGAGCTGCTGCTGCCGCCTTGGCCATCCATGCCCCGTGCTGTCTTCCACCTCGAAGGTTGACAGCCGTCTCTCCTGCTCTGCTTCAACGCTCCCCCGTTCGGAATTTGTCGGTCAATTATTTGGCGCACAGTGTTCCTACGGAAGGGAGGCTAGCTCCTCCTGAGCTATAATTATGGCTGATAACGGTGAGTCCTCGTGTCCTGGCTGCACAATGGTCGCCCGCCCGAGCTCTCAGGGGACAACGGCCCAACCCCGTCGAATATGACGACGACCGAACAACGGAACTGACGGATGTTCTCTTCTCCCCCCCAAACAGCTCGGAACCTCAATCTCAACTTGACCCCGGAGGAGAAACGGGTCTTCTACCAACTCTTCCAGGCCGCCGATACCACAAACCTCGGCGTCATCACCGGCGAGGTCGCGGTTCCTTTCTTCGAGAAGACCCAGCTGGCCCCGGAAACCCTCGGCTTGGTATGTCGTTGCCTACCACTCTCGGGGAAAGCTTTCCCCCGCGCAATCGCAATCGGAATCAGACGGCTAACTGGATCATGGCGACGTGATATAGATATGGCAGATCGCAGACAAGGAAAATCGGGGTCTATTGACCCCGTCTGGGTTTGGTGTCGTCATGCGGCTGATCGGACACGCTCAGGCGGGTCGCGCACCCACAGAGGAACTGGCCTTTCAACGTGAGTGAATGCTAGGTGCCCGTTCTGGTCCCCGACATAGAACAATAGATGATGAGAATGCAACTTTTGCTGACATGGTTCACCGTTGCAGCCGGGCCTCTGCCCAAATTCGAAGGGATCGTTGTCGATGCCACCCCGAACCCGCGTGAAGCAGGCACTACCAGCCCTACTCCGGGCGCAAACGCGCCGATCAGGGTCCCTCCGCTGAATCCAGACGATGTGAACAAGTTCTTGTCGCTGTTTGAGAAATCGGATGTGTCCAAAAGTGGGGTACTGCCAGGTACATACATATACCCCTCCAGCTAGCGCCCCGAGGCCGACCAGGCATGGACCCGATTGCTAATCAGATCATCATGACAGGCGAGACAGCCAAACAGATTTTCGAGCGTGCACGGTTACCGAACGAGATCCTTGGTCGTATCTGGAATCTGGCGGATAGAAGACAACAGGGTGCTCTGGATGCTACGGAATTTGTCATTGCCATGCACCTCCTTACGTCCTACAAGTCCGGTGCGATGAGGGGAATTCCCCAGACACTTCCACCCGCTCTCTATGATGCTGCCGCTCGCCGAGGCTCGATCCGCTCGTCGGTCGGTTCCCGTCAAGGTCTCGAGGTTCCTCCGGTGCCTGCGATTCCAAAGCAATTCACTGGACCCCAGCGTACGCAGAGTCCGATCAATAGGCAACCTTTCGGCTCCCCCCTCTCCGCTCAAGCCACCGGTGGTGACTGGCTGATTTCGCCGCAAGAGAAGGCCATGTTTGACAACATCTTTGCTACGGTTGATACGGCCAAGGCAGGTTCAATTAGTGGTGACCAGGCCGTCGCCTTCTTCATGGGTGCACAGTTGCCTGAGGAGACGCTAGCTCAGATTTGGGATCTCGCAGATATCGATGCGGACGGACAGTTGACCAAGGACGAGTTTGCCGTCGCCATGTATCTGGTTCGCTTAACGCGTAGCGGAAAGGAGGCGCTGCCTCAGACATTGCCTCCCGCCTTGATCCCTCCGAGCATGCGCCGTCCTGGATCTTCGCATTTCGGCCCAGCAGCTCCTATTCCTGCCCAGGCGCCAGCCCCAGTTCCAGCGCCAGCCCCAGTTCCAGCACCACACTCGGCGGCTGACGATTTGTTTGGCCTAGATGCGCTTTCTGCGCCGGCACCGGCACCGGCACCGCCGGTAGCTCCTTCCCAAATCCCCCAGTCAACCGGGGGTTCAAATACCGCCTTCCAGACTCCTGGTTCCCCCGGCTCGAGAGCATCTCCCCAAGCTCCCTCAACTACCTTCAAGCCGTTTGTGCCAACTTCAACCTTTGGACAGAGCCTGCAGCCACAGATGACTGGCGCTTCAGCTGGTGCTCCGCCACCCGTTCGATCACCCCCGCCCCCGGCGGATGATCTTTTGGGAGACAACGACCCCGAAGAGTCAAACAAACTGACCCAGGAAACTACCGAGCTTGCCAACCTGTCCAATCAGATCGGTTCGTTGGCTACTGAGATGCAGAACGTTCAAACGAAGCGAACCTCTGCCGAGCAGGATCTGTCGCAGACCTCGCAGCAGAAGAGAGACTTTGAGGCTCGTCTCGCTCAGGCTCGCGCTATGTACGAGCAAGAAGTGAAAAACTTTAAGGCTTTGGAGGAACGACTCAAGACCTCGCGGGCAGAGACTGGCAAGTTGCAGCAGGAATATGCGTTGATTGAGGGAAGCCGTCAAGATTTACAAAACCAGTACAACCAGGTATCAGCTGCACTCAGTGCTGATCAGCAGGAGAACGTAAGCCTGAAGGAGAAGATTCGTCAAGCCAACGCTGCGGTTGCTCAGCTCAAGCCTGCCCTCGACAAGGCTCGCTCAGAGGCCCGGCAACAGAAAGGTCTGGTCGCGATCAACAAGAAGCAGTTGGCAACTGTGGAGGGAGAGCGCGACAAGATCCAGCTCGAGATCGATTCTCTGTCCAAGGAGCAACCTGAAGCATCGGAGGAGAGTGCTGTCGGTCCAAGTGATGCTGCCCCTGTTATGAGCCCAGCCGAGTCGACGACGAGTCAAAACACCAACCCGTTCTTCAAGCGTACGGCTACTGGATCGAGCGAGGGCAATGCACTATCCCCGCAGATCTCTGGCGATCAGCAGCGTGCCTTTGATAGCCTGTTTGGTTCCGCCTTCACGTCACCACCGACGACCGCTACACCACCGCCTCCAGTGTCTTTCCGAGCTGAATCTCAGCCAACGTCTGGGGTGCCCACTCCGTCAGTGTCTCCGCCTCCATTCACTCCTGGTCCTGGGTTAGAGCCTCCGGCCCCGGCTCAGTCTAGGCAATTGACACCGGGTGTGTTGCCTCTTGGAGAGACCCATTCGGCGACCTCTTCAACGAAGGTTTCGCCGCCAGGCAGCAGATTTGGTGGTCAAGACACGGCCAGTCTAGGAACTGCCTCGCAGGCAGCAACTAGTGAAGTGGCAGGCCCTTCGTCTCCACAGCCCGCCACCTCTCCGTTTGATGAAACCGAGGAGTCAAAGGAGCGATTCCCTGAGATTCCATCCATCGCCGCAAGTGAACAACCTGCAGTTGGCGCCGTATCGCCTTCCGGAGAGGACAAGCCTGCAGAGCGCAAGGATCTCAGCTTTGATGAACTGTTCGGCGGGCCAGCACATCAGCGCTCCAAGTCACAGAAAGAGAATGACTTTGAAGAAGCCTTTGCTGCCATGAAGAGTGGGCCTGGAGTAAGCAAAACGAACGGAGCCCCGGCCGCTCCTGAGTCAGAATTTCCTCCCATTCGCGAACTTGACGATGGTGATGAGAGCTCCGACAGCGAAGCACCCATGGGCTTCGAGGATAACTTCACCCCCGCCTTCCCTCCGCAGACTCAAATCGCCGCAGCACCCCACCCCGATTCTATCGAGCCATCCCAACTGGCAGCGTTCCCCACTCCTGGCAATGCGGCCACTGCAAGCCAGCCCCCTGCGGCGGAATCGCAGCCAAGCCCCCCAAAGTATGAGGACTCCGTTGAAAAACAGGAGCCGGGAGACTTGCCACGCGAGTACAACGGACTCTTGCCGAACCGTGAAGACCCAACCACTGCCCCCGATGCTCCACACTCAGTAGAGTCAAGCACAGGGGCACCGATCGTGGGTGGTGAAGCCCAACGTGACGGTACAAAGGAACCCGAAGCTGCTCCCGAAGGGGCCAAGGCTGGCGCGCCTGACTTTGAGGCTGCTTTCGCCGGCCTCAACCTCGCGCCAGCAAAGGAGGCCGAAGATGAAGACGATGACTTTGAAGCGCCCGATAACGCCAGAGCCAACGTGGACTTCGATTTCTCGTTCGACAACCCGTCAGCACAAAAGACGTCTCCCCATCCAGGTGCGGATGTCGCATCCTCGGAATTTTTCAACTTTGACAAGAACGTATCTTCCTCGCCTCCCGGCTCTGCTGCACCGCCGGCCGAGCCCAGCGCGAAACCTCAGACTCACGACTGGGAAGCACTTTTTGCTCCTCTTGACAACGCCAGTGCTGCTGCTGGCGGGGCAAACGGAACGGGCAATGCAGAAGCCAGCAAGGAACCCGGCTGGGCTCTCCAGACAGGCACCGAAGACGACCAAATCCTCCAGCGGCTGACAGGCATGGGATTTCCCAGAGAGGAATCCCTCTCAGCTTTGGAGAAATTCGACTACAACCTTGACAAGGTATGTTTTCAAACCGTCAATAGGGGAATCCCCCGTGCTAACCGCTTTCCATAGGCCGTAGACCATTTGACTTCCAAGTCTTGATTTGCATCCATAACCTCTTCTTTTATTTTCTGATCAGTGCACATATTTTTCTTTTCTATGAGCCCTTCACTCGCTCCAAATGTTTCCTTCCTCCTTAATTCCTCCCACCTAACGTCGCCCCCTTCTTTACTTTCCTTTTCTTTAACTCATACGTGATCCAGCTTGCATGTTGTTATTGCTGCAATGTATATCCCTTTTCTTTCAGCGGTGTGCGCCTTACCCACATCACAGTCAACTACATTATGACCTACACTTATCATCATCGCCCCGTGTAATTTAGGAACACAAATATTGGATTAGTTATGAAACAAGAAACGAAGTGCAGAAGGACAACGGACCCAGAAAGGAAACAACGACCAAGATCAAGGGACAGCGGCCACGGGCAATTACTATTTCTGTATACTGTACCTTTTTGATCTGCTCTTCGCACCTTCCTTGTTCTGTATTTATTGTATTGCATAGCTCGTTTTCGGCAAAGTAATCCCTAATACACTATCGTCATTGCTGAAAGAACAGCAATCATCTGCTTGATAATCGATCCAGAGCAACATATAGTAGTAGATATCTGAAACAGGCCGTCTGATCTCCAGGGATTTTAGGTTTGGTCCGAGCTTTTTTGCCCAGGTGTGGGTGTGGGTCTGACACTGACACAAAATGGGCATACCAATGTAGATGTGATGCGGGTTATAGAGAGTGTGCAAGAAACTTACATATAACATTTAATCAAGATTGATGGCAGGTTGTGAAGATGACATGTCATATATGATGTTTCTTGAAAAGATTGGTAGTCTTTACCAGCAGAATGCAGCGGAACAGACAACTAGTATAATACGTAGTCAATGTAAGCCATGGAACTCCTGAGAGCCTACTACTCTTAATCACCGATATCCATTGTTCACGGTCTACTAGCTCTGCTTACAATCATGATAGGAAAAAGTTTGGCAGACAGGAGATCCAAGGAAACGTATAGGTAACTCCGAGCAACAATAGAGAGGTTAGTAAGAGCTAGACCTCTGATAAGCGCAGCGATCCACAATCTGAACGGCCTGGAGGATATACATGACCTCGGACCATGGAATGAGCCCAAAGAACGCAAAGGAGTACAACAGACCGAACAGACCCATTCGAAACAGCGCTAGACGCCACGGGTGACTTGCCCACTCTCCATACTTTTCAGCGAGCTTGTCACATGCTGCGAAGATACACGTTGCATCATAACCACTGTGTATTGTATTGAGTCAGTCCTTGTATCTGGTCACATAAGTGAGGGGCAATTCTTACTAAAATCTTCGATAGAACGTTGCTTAGCGGTTCTTACGGGACTCTTGCCATGCATAATGTTGTCGAAGCTCTTGGACCCCTGCAGCAGATAATACAGGCCACCCATTATGCAGAATACCCCAAAGGAAAAAACGTAGATGCGGAGAATTGTAGGCCACGAGGTTGGTCCACCAGCAAACCAGCCAAATAAGCAGAAGCAAGTCGCCACGAGATCCACAGCTGCAATAGCTCCTACTAGCTTCCAGGATGGCCGTTTTGAAGCCCAGAAAGCCCCATCTGATCGCGTTATGAAGATGAGCCAGTTCTCTGTCAGCGAAATTTCGAGGAACAAGACCTCATCTCGCTTCCCATAGTCTTGCATTATGCCACCATTCTCCCCAGCAGTCAGAATTGTAGTAAGTGTGATCCATGTGCCTACGGCGAGTACAATACCGAGAAGGATAGACATCCCCCAAAGTTTTGGGAGGTTCCATTTCACAGGAGACTTGGAAAATGGAGCAGTGTCATAGGCGATGGCCAGAGTCGCAATATCGGCAAAGATGGCGATGAATACCACAAGCTGAAGGTTAAGGCTTTCGTTTCTGGTGGCTATCCAGAATCCTAGAAATATCTCCAAGTGTAGCGACAGTGCAATCCTATATACCACATAAGCGTACATACGGTGGAAGATCTGGCGCGAAGTCTTCAAAGCATCGATGATCGCAGACAAGCCAGGGGCAAGAAACACAATGTCAGCCGCTGAGCGCGCAGCATCTGAGGAACCTTCCACTGCAATTCCAGTATCGGCTTTTTTGAGTGATGGAGCGTCGTTGACGCCGTCACCAGTCATAGCAACCAAATATCCGCGCTGTTGTAAGATGTCCACCACGTTGTACTTGTGCTCAGGGAAGACTTCTGCGAATCCATCGGCAGCTTCGACGAAGTCGTAAACTTCAGAACCGGACATTGTTCCTCCCCCACCGAGCCCAAGGCGCTCTGCATTGTAGACATTTGTGCCCAATCCAAGCTGTCGTGAAGTTTCGCGAGCAATACCAACAGCATCTCCCGTCAGCATTTTTATAGACAGCCCCAGAGTCTGAGCTTCCTTGATAGTCTTTGCAGTATCATGCCGTGGAGGATCTGAACATGGCATTATGCCCAGGATCTCCCACTCGCCATCACCGCACTTCCGAGCCACCCCAAGCGAGCGGAACCCACGTGTTGCAAACTCCGCCACTTTGTTCTTGTATGCCTGTTCAATATCCTCCTGTATCTGATGATCCTGCTGGACTGTCTTCAGTACAAATAAAGGGGATCCCTTGACACACGTGATTCGTTGACCTTGAGGAGACTGGACTACTGCCGTGACCTTTTTGGAGACTGGGTCAAATGGGGAGAACTCGAGCACCTTGAATTGCGGAAGCATCGTTTTGGCGTCTGGGTACTCGTTCAAGGCCTTGAAGAATGCTCTGTCAATGGCATCCATACCCTTCTTCTTTCTGGAAGCAGCTAAGCACGCTGTTAGCATAAGGTCCTCAGGATTGACTCCAGCCACCGTGTAAGGCTCTGTCAATGATAATTTATTCTTTGTCAATGTGCCGGTTTTGTCAGAACAGAGTATCTCGACTCCAGCGAGGGATTCAATAGCAGATAGCTTCTGCACAATCGCTCTTTTCTTTGCCAGATACGCTGCACCAACGGCCATCGTGGTTGTGACAACAGCTGGTAAGCCTACCGGAACACCTATCATAGTGATGGCCAGGGTGAATTCGAGAATAGTTGTTGTATTGTTTGAACGGTAAAATGACGATACCCAGACAACAATCAAGGTTATGACGACAAGGACAAGGAGGACAATACTGATACCATGGAGAACTTCGGTGAAGTGGCCGGTGCCTGTTGACGCAGCATTGACCAGCGCGGCAGCACGTCCTACAGATGTCCAATTGCCAGTTGCTGTAATGAGGATTCGGGCGTAGCCGCGCTTCACAGTAGATGATGCGTAACATACATCTCCTTTGTGCTTGTCAACTGCCAATGACTCGCCCGTCACAGAAGATTGATCGACTTGAATAGGCGAATTGGTCATCACTCGGCCATCCGCAGGGACTATGGTGCCCTGTGGGAATGATCAGAGACTGTAGGCAGTTAGAGACGCGGCAGGATTGTTACCTCGTCGACTTTCACTATGTCTCCAGGGACCAGTTCAGCTGCATCAACATCTGCCATCTTGCCATCCCGCAACACAACAGCCCTAAGCGCCAGTGATTTCTTCAGCTCCTTAACGATAGACCCAGCCTGGAAATCCTGGACAAACCCCACAGATGCATTGAGGAAAAGGAGGCCACAGATAACCCCTAGGTCTACCCAGTCTCGGAGGTAAGCAGCTAACACGGCTGCCGCCTAAAAACGTCAATATTAGCGAAAAGAAAAACAATGATGAGGATTCCCATGTCGGGGTGCACTTACCTCCATAACAAACTGCACGGGTCCAACAAAGAACGACAGGAATTTCACTACGAGGTTTTCTTTCTCCTCCTTCATCTCATTGGAGCCAAATTTCTTGCGACGGAGTATCGCCTCACTTTCATCGAGGCCTGTCAGGAAATCTGTTTGCAGTAGGTTATCTGAGACGGGGCGAAGTCGACCGGTTTGATGGCTCTCCTGTGTGTTTAGTTCCGCACCGCCATCCACGGACTCCAACTCCCCGATGAGAGTATCGATATCCTCTTCTTCTTCACCCTCACCATCATGGATGTCGGATGGTGTCTTCTCCTCTCTCGATATCTTCTCAACATACTCATGCTCGGTATCCATGTCCTTGGGGTAAGGCAAGGGCATCGCAGTCATAGAGGGGACACTTGGATGCTATAACGAGGAGCTCAGCAATCACATATGAACGATAAGGGTCTAAGCGGATAGACGCCAGGAAAATGTTAACCTATAAACGTGTAAGATATGACATCCTCCAGAAGAAAGTGGAAAGAAAATGCCAGTACTGGGATCGAATGACTCGGTAGGCATACAACGGAAGGGACGTCGACAGGAGCAATGCTATAATTAATTCCTTCAAAAAAGGCAAGTCATCATTAGTAGTAGTAAAGGAAAGAACTACCAATATGCGACCAGCGTTATTGTATCTGGCGACAAGCGATCTGACATACGCTTTCAACTACTCGAGCGCTTCCGTTCAAAGAGAAATAACAGTGACATCATGCTAATGGCTGGTATTCAAGGCCGCACATATAGTACTACCTGACATCAGCTTGCAAACCAGATACTAGTGCTACTAGTACTAGAACTGCCTGTTCCATTTCGGTTGTCAAGTAGTTGTAGTATAGTATATACTATAGTAACAGGAGTAAGCGATGCTGGGGGTATCATTAGTGATTTGACGATAAGAAGCCCAACATGCATAGTGACAATGAGTCCAGTGAATCAAGGTTCAAGTAATATCTAACCTCGGTCGAAAGCAATGTAAAATAGTGAAGAGTAGAACTGTATGAGGATGAATGTATACAAAGAGGAGTGACAGGATGGACCAATGAGGACCAGTAGATTACATAATCAAACACCCGACGTCATGTCAGTTTCATTTGATGGCTCTCGCGATGGAGAACTTTACGTTTGCAGAGTCTTACTGATCAACGCGGTCCCTGATCCTTAATTAACCAGACTGCTCGCTAGCTGTGAATAGATCGACTTGCGACTGTTGTGGGTGAGGAAGGTGAGAGCTGTGCTGTTTCTAGTGCGTTGCGCATGATGAGCAGGATCACGGTCAAGTGATCTGCACCGACGCCGACGACTTCGAAACTAGAATGCGTCAACCCTGAGACGTGCCCCTCAGCATCTAGAAATACGCGCCCTCTTGCTCTTTTCTGATCCCTTCTACATCAGGAAAAATGAATAGGGAAATTCCAGGGTTCTACTATGGTAAATGACGTGGTTCTGTCTTCATCCGGGGCAACGATGATTGACCGCTCAATAGACCCCGAAAAGAAAAAGTACTTCAAGATCCAGGCCAATCACAAGGCTACCCCAGGATCGCAATATACCCAAGACTCCGTTAAACGGAAGCGCGTAGATCAAGAGGTAGGTGGTCATGCCTTCCAGTCTTCTTCGATCATACTGACTCTTTAAATAGAAGCGCCAAAGGAAGATCCATCTGACGAAAAGAGCCACGAAAGAGAAAATCAAAAGGGCGGCTTTTCTGTCAAACCCTCTACTGGGAGTGCAGAGGGAGATTGGGTCTGAAGTTGTATCTTCCAGCATCCGACAAGAACAGAGAAGCTTGATTTACGCAAGCCAGCTTCGTCGAAACCAACTTCACCAATTCGAGCCCTGGCCTGATGAGTATAGCATCAAGCATGTGCTGCGCAACAAGCGCTCAGGCATCTTGATAGCCAGTAAGCTAATCCCTACATCTAGACCATTTCATTGATGCAATCTAACAATCCTGAAGGTGGCCATCGTGGTGGTGAATCGTCTGTTTCGTAAGCTCAACCTTCCGTCCTGCGCGGTCGTGTATCCGGCAAGCTAACCGCCGACCAAGGGTATGCTTCCCGGATTGCGACCAAGATAAATGGACATATAACCGCACGATGGAGCGTGTTCTCTTCAAAGAACCCTACAGAGTATATCTACCAGCTTCAGTCCCCTTCCAAAACATCCCCACTAACTAGCTTCCCCACAGCTATCCTCAGTCTCACTAAGCCACACTGGCTACCTATTGTACGAATCAAAGACACCATCCTCCCCATCCTGTGATTGCTAGCTAGCTGACAGGATCAGGGCGACGATGGATAGTGGTCCGAACGGCGACTCCTTCCTGGCACCGCGAATGCTGCCCGATCCTGACGAAGGTGGAGATTACCGGTGGCCCACGTCGTGTACGTACCTAGATAGCAAGCCCGCACTCTCAGTCGTTACACACTTACCACAACGATCAAGCTTGCTAACCTCCGATCCTACTACTATGCAGTTTACCATCCCATCCGTCTCCGCACATCATCATCCCTATGGTGTTCGTCCGCCTGCCCAACCGGCGAGATGCCGCTTTTCGCCGTCGGAACCTCAGACGGACTATACACACTCGAGGGATTCGGCAGCTACTGGGCATTATCGAAGAAGTCCTTCCCGAACGATATACTAACAGGGAAACCGATTCTACATCGCCGGGTAGACTCTTCCCATGCTATCGTCTCAAGTGTCGAATGGCTCTCATCCGACGTAATAGCCGCTGGTCTCAAAGACTCGGCTATATTCCTCCACGACTTGCGCAGTGGAGGCAGCGCAACCCGACTTCAACACCCCCACGCAGTCACTAAGATGCGAAGAGTAGATCCCTATCGGATCGTCGTGGCGGGTATAAACTCGGTACGTGTTATGCCCTTCCCACCCACACACCGGTATATAGCTCGACGAGGATCGTATCTGACAGAAATATTCATTCAAACTATAACAGCTCCAAATGTACGACATCAGATACCCGGCCAACGGCCTCCAACGCAATCCACAACCCAACAAAAAACATCACACGTCAACTAAACCATATCTTACATTTGCGGACTATTCGCCCGAAGGAATACCGGATTTCGACATCAGCTTGGAACTTGGCCTCCTCGCTAGTGGTGTGTATCCCCTCTCCTACTTCACACTCTCTAGCTATTCTACCTATCCAGAGTGGGTAATGACAAGAGTTAATTAACCCTTCATGCTAGCATCCGACGAGCGAAAGATCCAACTCTTTTCTCTCCGAACCGGCGCACAGGTCCCGTCACCATTATCAGGTTATCAATACGCGAACCCCATTTCCTCAGTCTGTTTCGAACCCGGGGACGGATCCCTGCATGGACCTCAAACACCTAGCTTGTTAGTCTGCGCGCAAGCTACGGTGGATGAATGGATCTGGTCGAACACGCCAAAGACGAAATGAAAATGATTCAGGTGACAAGAAGAGAAAAGGAAAAAAATAAAAATGCTCTATTCAATGCAACGCTCATTGGGAATATAACTAGAAATACATGAGTGTTAAGAATGGATGAATGAGCATGAAAAAAACCAGATTGATTCCAGATTGCATGCGTCACGATTATATCCCATCCATCGAGGGGGTTAATCCAACCCTCCCGCCAACCATTCGCCAACCTCGACGCCTACTGTCTTGGCCAACTCTCCGATCCAGTCGCCCGAGACATTGACGCACCATTTCTCACCTGCATCCGAGGTCGTGTTACCGCTACTTAACCCTCCGGACCCGAGCCCCATGCGACCGCCGCTCTCGCGACCTGCCGCTGGCACCACGAGCCGTAACCGACGTAATGTAGCAAGCTCCGCATATATCGCATCGGAAACCGCCGCCAGTCGGATGGGGTTTGCTGGGGGATTGGGGTCAATGGCGTGGTAGATAGCGATCAGTCGCTCGAGCGGGAAAGGACGGGCTGTTAGGATCGTTGACGGACCGGTGATACCGGCGTTGCTGCCCACAGCCGAAGTGGTGGCAGAGGAAGTAGCAAAGGCAGACTCCAGAGTGGACTTCGTGATGCGAGTCTTCTCTCTTTTGCCTTTCTTGCTAGGGGTTGACGGGCCTCGGCTCGCCTCCCGACTATCCTCCGCCTGGGCTCGGGAAAGCACCTTCAGCCGTCGCCGATGATGTGCGCGTTTATTCCGAGCAGATAAGGAAGAGGAAGAGAATTTCGAGAAGAAGATGGTATCGAGCCGTTGGGGTGTATGTGAGGCAAGGTACGCGGAGGTCAAGATCAAGGTCGGGAAGTAAGGTAAAGAAGGAAGGGGTGAAGGGGCCGAGACGGCCGACATTGACGGCTTCAATAGGGAGCCATTTGCGGGAGCTGATTCTTCGGTGACAATGTGATGTACAAGAGCGCCTTCGCCTTGATGGCGGAATAAAGCACGGTTTTTGACCAGAAGTCGCGAGAAGTCCCATTCATTGCTTCCCCCAGGCGGGATATCGCCGTTGGTAATGGGAGCAACGAACTGAGGCCATATCTTCTCGCATATCGATCTGAACGTAGGAACAGAACTCGCCGTAGGCCCAACCAGAGAGTCATATATAGCGGACACAAAATGCGGGTATAACTTCGAAGCTGTCCCGTCATCCAGACCACTCACAGCAGGCGGTCCAGCGTTCAAAATAATCGTGACGGCCTCTTTGCGCGTATACGGAGGGAAGCTAATATGCGGAACGCCCGCAGCTTGAAGAAACAGCGGCCGCGGACTAGAGCTGAGGATAAGAACGACACATAGGGATGGAATCTGCGCAGTAAACAATCAACCCATTAGCAAGGACTCTTACCAACAAAACGAACGGAACAAAAACATACCACTTCTCCCAGCCTCGCCAGCGCAGACAACAGAGTATGCGGTGCTTCACGCTGCTTATCTATCCCATCCAAAACCAGCACGAACTTGCCCTTCGCATTGCTGCTGCCGTCCGATAATGAAGCAAGACATTCGCCCAGCAGCACAGCCAGGGAGCTAACATGCTCGCATCTTCCCTTGCCGTATTTCTCCCATTCGTCGCGTTTCCCAAGCGCTTCAAGCGTTGCCCAGAGGATCTTCGTTAGGAGATGACGGCCGGTGATGCATTCGGGACTCCGGACAATAGCATGTGGGACTTCGAGGGCAGCGAGGACATTGCGGACGATAGTCGTTTTGCAAGTTGCGGATATTCCGTGTACAACTAATGTGGATGGGCTGGAAATTCTAGGCTAGTCGGTCGCGTTTATATGTTAATTGTTTATTCGGGGTTATTGAAAGGAATTCGGAGGATCTGGGGGAGAAAACATACGCCGAGAAGACTGGCAAGCTGCCTGGTCTGGAGCTCTCGACAAGGCCATTGCTTACTGAGCGATCGGCTGATGTCTGATGGAAGCATAGATATGAATGGTAAGACACTTGAAGATCTATAGCTTCCCTGAATATTCCGAAAAAGTCGGAGAGGCGTAGAAAAGGATAATGGTAAACGCAACTTTTGAGGTTTCGGCTTTCGCAGCGATCAATGAAGAGAAACGCGGGTAACGGCCATACGCGGTCACGTGCTTCATACATACTCTGGCAGTTCTTGCGAACACATCTCGAACTGCGAATGCGAAGAAGTATCGATCTTGCAATATCTTAAGACATACGGAAAGAGCAATGACTCACTAAATAACATCTTGATTGCCTAAAATATGGGTACATCTAATCTACCGTTACTGCTGATGGAACAGGCGGGAAAGAATGTAAAGCATCAGACACCGCAAAGCTAATCATCCCAACGTGCAACCAACGAAGTGCAAGTTTGCGCAAGCGGGGCCCATAATTGATAGCACAGGGGTAGACATAGGCATGATTCGCAGTCTGTTCCAAGTTTACCATCCATTGCTTCATCCAGAAAATCAAGAACAGCCGCACCAAGCGAGCCATGCAGACAGGTAAAGCCTTCTCATGATGCAAGTGTCAAGATAGCAGGATTTGGTAGATAGAAACAAAAAAGACACAAAAAGGGAGGGGGCTAGAAGCACAATTGGGAAGCGAGGACAAATATGAAACAGCAGTCTTTGCTCCTTATCGGACCGGTAGCATGATCGATGGAGATGGACTTGTGCGCAAGTAAAAAAGAAGACATGTAGAATAAGAAGTAAAGACATTCAAAAGGTATGGTCGTTAAATGGGTGCTAAACGAAGCTCCAGGGCATTGAAAGAATACAGGACATCAAATGAAGTGCAGTAAATGGCTTTATCATCGTTTACATCTTCTCATCAGATATGATCCAGATATGCAAAAAGGTTGCATGGTAATATGATCTCGTCTTCGTATCGGTAATTCTGGTCTTTTCAATTTGATGACAAATTTTCATCGGGGCCGTGAGTCATGAAGATCGTAGCGTCGTCGCACTATGAGTACAATTCAATGAAGAAGGACGGGTGAACCAAAGCGCTGCGTAATGAATCAGAAGTACGCATACAGCTGGCTTTGAGCACCAAGATTGCCGTTGGCTTGCGGCACAGCTGAAGCAAATATAGCCTCGCTAGGTCCGCCAGACGGAGCGTTGGAACCTGTCGCAGAGCCAGCGGTGGGAACAAAGTTCTGATTTCCAAACTGGGAACCGACTGGGAAAGGGCTGTGTTGATACATGAAGGACTTCTGTGGTCCCTGAAGAGGACCCGGAAGCTGGGCGGAGTTCATTTCGTTAGGCGTCACTTGTCCGCTAGTTGCGGCACTTCCCCTTCCTGAGCCTTCGGATGCCATCATCTTACCAGCAATACGACGGCCATGGGGGGTTTGACGGATAGAAGGCAATATAGGACGGATGCAATCGACAATCCGCGCTCGAGTTTCAGCATCGGCAAAGTCCATGGCTGTTTGCACCACATAGTTCGCAAATGAGTCGCGGAGCATCTTCTCAAGTTCGGCTCCTGCCAGCATTTCATCGATCATCTGACGCCGGATTTGGAAGTCCGCAGTACGAAGGCACTTCTCGATGACATTCGAGCTAAACTTCTGCTTGGATAGAGCGGGTATGTTGCCTCGGAAATTCTGACACAAGGGCTCAGTGAAATGAGGCTCAGCAAGGTCCAAAATATATTGCACAACGTAGTTTCCGAAAGGATCTTGAACAAGAGCAAATGCATTCGCAGTGATTTGAGCAATGAGGCGCGCTTTCTGATCACCAGACGCATGGTCAATGCATCGTTGCAGAACGCAACATCCATGGCGATGAGTGCCGACGACCACGCAGTTGGCGCCAACAGCATCGTAAATGAATTGAGCGTCCTCGGCAGAGAGACGGTTGAGACACTTTTGGATCACATGGTTTCCGTTCAGATCCTGAACCAATTCAACAACATGGTCCTCTAGCGAATGGATGACCGTTTGGGTTTGTTCGGCGGTAGAGATAAACTCGATCATCTTTTGGAGCGCCCTGGTACCGTGCTGATTAAGAGCAATCTTAACGAGCTGATGAGCAGCGTTGTTGATCAAGTCAGTCCGCTGTTCATCGTTGGAATATTCGAGCAATTTCTGGCACAGGTAATTGCCGAACGGATCTATGTATGGTGTTAGTGAAAGCTCTTACGACATGGGGTCGAGAATGCTCAACAAACCTGTCATGAGTTCAACCACATGAAGGCGCGTTTCCTCGAAGATCATTTGTACATGCTCCGGGTTACGCTCTTCCAATTTTCTCTGCAGGTACCTGCAACCGTGTTGGTCCTTACAAAGGCCATACAACTCGCCTTTATAATGCTCAAGCGGGAAATTTGTGAAGCGAGAGAGCTGAGCGCTATCGTTATCGCCGCTTCGTCGGGAGGTAACGCTTTTGGCCGAGCCTTCAGGCATGCGATAAGTCCCATAGGGAGCGTACCCAGCAAAGGGAGCTGCGGCATTGTAGTTTTGCAGCTGACCGCTGACCTGCACTGGAGCGCCCATGTAGGCTTGGATACCATACCCATAGAAGGGTGCCTGGAATGGGGTCAAGGTAGTTGGTGCGACCGTGCTGTTGCTATTGGCAGGACCGGTAGTGATTGGTGGGCCGAAAGGTGTGGCACTAGCTTGCAGAGTAGTCTGCTGGGCCCGGGTTCCCTGCAATTTCGCTTCATCGCGTTCAGGTGAGTCCCTTTGTTGGCGGGAGTTCACAGGGTTCACAGCTGGAATCCGACCCAGATTGGTATTGTGTTGAATCTGTTCGGCATGCGTCTTAGGAGGAGTGACAGCGGGATTGAAAGGCTCGCCTTTGACTGTAGGAAGATCGTTGGTCGAGTATGAGGACTGCAAGGATGCAGGTCTGCTGGAAGCAGTAGCTGTCAGGTTTTCAGAATGTTCCTCGGCGCTGTAGAGCAGGCTCGCCTCCAGCGAATGTCTAGCAGCATGACGAGCAGAGTTTGAAGAATGCGCATGATTCTCGTCAGTTTGATTACCAAGCTGACGGAACATGT